GCATCATCTAGACGGTCATGTTTGCAAAATCCATCGATTATTGAATTATATGTGATTGTGTTAGGAAATATACCCCTAAGAAGCATCTCACCATATAATTTATGAGCCTCAAAGAAGTTCCCTTCTTTGACAAATGCATTGATCAATGCGCTGAAAGTTACAACATCAGGATTTATTTGCCTTTCAATCATATCACGCAACAATTGCTCGGCATCACTCCATCTACCAGATCTAGAAAAAGCGTCTATCATACAACTGTAGGTAAGAACATTGGGAAAAATTCCTTTCTCAAGCATTTCACTGAAAAGATTTTGAGCATGGTTATGATGTCCGTCTTTGCAGAGACGATCAATGATGGCATTATAGATTACAACATTGGCTTTGATGTGGCTTTCATCCATCTTCCTAAGCAGATGCAAGGCCGAGTCAGTGTCACCCATCTTACACATTCCATTGACAATTGTTCCGTAAGTAACCTCGTTAGGTTGATGACCATTTTCAACCATCCGATCAACAAGAGCTAGTGCTTCGAGAACTCGACCCTCACGGCAAAGACCGTTCATCAGTGTGGTAAACGTTACGACATCGGGTGGACATCCAGTTTCAACAATACGATCAAATAAAGCTACGGCTTCAGAAATCCTAACTTCCAGGCATAACCCGTGGATCAGGGTGTTAAGTGTAACAACGCTGGGCTGAAAACCAAGTTTGGTGATCTTGCCAAATGTAGATAAAGCAAAAGACAACATATGGCAGTCGCAGAAACACTTAATCAGAATAGTGAAGCTGAAGATATTAAGTGGAATCAATCGCAATTCCATCATCTTATGGAGGGAAATCACAACATCGGGACGATTCATTCTGACGAAGACACCCATTAATTTACAGAAATCAATCACCGAATACAAGGGACGAGATCTAACCATTTCATCGAACATATCGATGACATCATCTAAGCTTTTGAGATAATGAAACCCACTTGTCAATTTCAATTCCTCTCCTCCAAAAGTTCCTGGGCTCTTCGAAACCGTAGATGTCTTGGCAGAACGAAGATGAATCAATCTCGTGCTGATCAATCTGGCAGAAGCAGTAGCAGATTCAGATCTCAAAACCCTAGCCAACATTTTGTTGTGTCGCCTGATTTTGTTTTTTCCAAGTCGATCTTTCTAACTCTCTGAGTGAGAGTGATGAACACCTGTAATTTTAAAATGAAAACATAAAATCACAACCGGTTCGATCGGAACGATTCTGAAACCGGTTCGATCTGAACGATTCTGAAACCGGTTCGTTTGACCAATGTAGTGGTCTAGTGGACTTAGGGACACAACGTCGTTTATTCAGTTTAAAAACTGTAATAAAACCCTTTTTTATCAACTGAAAATAGTTTTGTTTGACAGTGAGAAATCTCTAGATTCCAATGTCAAAAACTATATATATTTTGATTCGAAATGAAAACGAAACTGCTTACAATGTAAACATATATTTCCTTATCCAACCCGGTTCGTGCCAATTTCCTGATGAATTAAATTTCACAATGTAAACTTCTGTTTTTCACTTGGCCCTGTAAATGCCGATGAGAGTTGGTTAGATGCTTGAATCTTGACACTTGTGCTTCTTTTGTTTCTCCCTCGATAAGTCTTGTGTTAAGCTAGTAGTGTAGGAGCATTGTAGTTACCCAATGTAGCTGCGTTGATAGTCAGAAACTATAGTTGAATTGGTTATCTAGAGAGCTAACAGTTTCAAAAAAGGAATTTTAGGCAGAATGAATTGGAGTATTCTGGATTGGTCTCAGATATTGGTTTTGGGCGGTGGTCGAGAGTTAGAGACTTTTCGTGCTCATGTTGTAGTTCTTTGGTTACTTGAATAAAGCTGCTTAATATGTGTGTGTTAAGTTTGATTTATCAAATTGTATGTGACACTGCTTTTATTGTATTTAGGAAAAGACGAGATTTGAGGAAACAAAATGTGAGGAATCTTCGTCTACTTCAAAATTATTTTGTTTTTGTTTTTGGTGAGAGACTTAAAATAGTTGACTTTGGCTAAATTGTTTCTCTCTTTCCCAAAATTCAGTCAGTCAACGGTGATGTCCATCGTATAAGGATCATCCAGAGACATTTTTGATCTATTTGAATCAACTTTTCTTGCTACTCTAATCTCATGGCTTCTTCTTCTTCTTTTTCGCCTGACACCTGGAGCTACCACGTCTTCATGAGCTTCTCTGGACCAGACTTCCGTAAAACCTTTCTCAGTCATTTAAGCAAACAGTTTAACTACAATGGGATTACGATGTTCAATGAGCAAGGGATTGAGGGAAGCCAAATCATTCCTCCAGAACTCACACAAGGGATTAGGGAATCGAGGATCTCGATCGTTGTGCTCTCGAATAACTATGCTTCTTCCAGCCGGTGTTTGGATGAGCTGGTGGAGATTCTGAAGTGCAAGGATGAGATTGGACAAATAGTGATGCCAATCTTCTATGGAGCAGATCCATCTGATGTTCATTAAAACTTGTGCTCGTAAAACGGAGGAGGAGAGGCGAAGATGGAGCCAAGCTTTAACCGAGGTGGGAAACATAGCCGGAGAACACTCCCTAAAATGGTTAGTTTGATTTCGTTCAATGAATTTGGAATCTATGCTTTCTTAATCCGATTAGGGACGTTTAATTTGTGAATCTACAAATCATTTTCAGTTTTTCACATGACTATTTGATAAACACGGTGATTTTTTTTTTTTCTATCTCTTGTTTAGGCGAAATGAATCGGATATGATCGAGAAAATTGCCAGAGATATTTCAAACAAACTGAATGCTACAATCTCTAACGATTTTAAAGACATGGTGGGTATTGAAGCTCACTTGCAGAAAATGGAGTCTTTGTTACAGTTAGATAATGAGGATGCTATTATTGTTGGAATCTGTGGCCCTGCAGGCATTGGTAAGACTACTATTGCCAGAGCTATACATGGTCTACTCTCTCATAGGTTTCAACTTAGTTGTTTTATGGAGAATCTTAGGGTAAGCTATAATAGTGGTCTTGACGAGTATGGTTTGAAGCTGCAATTACAAGAACAACTTCTTTCTAAGATTTTAAACCACAATGACATGAGGATATACCATTTAGGTGCGATACCAGAAAGGCTAAGTAACAAAAAAGTGCTTATCATTCTTGATAATGTGGACGATCTAAGGCAATTAGAGGCTCTGGCTAATGAAACTACATGGTTTGGTCCTGGAAGTAGGATTATTGTGACCACAGAAGACCAAGAGCTCATGGGGCGACATGGTATTAATAATATATACCATGTGGATTATCCATCTCGTGAAGAAGCTCTGGAGATCTTATCATCTCCTCGTAAAGGTCTTGAGCCGTATTAAGATCTCCCACTTGACAGAACCCGTGAATAAGAGTGCTGTAAGAAACTGTATCAGGAACTAATCCTCTTCTAGACATCTCATGGAGAAGTTCCATTCCGTCATCTACCCTCTTAGCCTTACAGCATCCGTCTATGAGAGTAGTTAAAGTGACTACATCCGGAGAGCAGCCCTTGCTAACCATCAAATCAAACATGTGCTTTGCATCATCTAGACGACTATGCTTGCAAAATCCATCGATCAATGAACTATATGTGATTGTATCAGGAAATATATCCCTTCGAAGCATCTCATGATATAATTCTTCAGCCTCAGAGACCTTTCCTTCTTTGACAAATGCATTGATCAATGCATTGAAAGTTACAACATTAGGATTGATTTGCCTTTCAATCATATCACGCAACAATTGCTTGGCATCACTCCATCTACCAGATCTAGAAAAAGCGTCTATCATACAGTTGTAGGTATAAACATTGGGAAAAATTCCTTTCTCAAGCATTTCACTGAAAAGATTTTGAGCATGGTTATGATGTCCGTCTTTGCAGAGACGGTCAATGATGGCACTATAGATTACAACATTGACTTGGAGGTGGCTTTCATCCATCTTCCTAAGCAGATGCAAGGCCGACACAGTGTCACCCATCTTACACAATCCATTTACAATTGTTCCGTAAGTAACTACGTTAGGTTGATGACTATTTTCTACCATTTGATCAATGAGGCCTACTGCTTCGAGAACTCGACCCTCACGGCAAAGACCGTTCATCAGTGTGTTGAACGTTACGACATCGGGTGGACATCCAGTTTCAACCATATGATCAAATAAAGCTACAGCTTCAGAAATCCTATCATCGAGACATAACCCGTGGAGCAGCGTGCTAAACGTAACAACATTGGGCTGGAAACCAAGTTTGGTGATCTTGCCAAATGTAGATAAAGCAAAAGACAACATATGGCAGTCGCAGAAACACTTAATCAGAATAGTGAAGCTGAAGATATTAAGTGGAATCAATCGCAATTCCATAATCTTATGGAGAGAAATCACAACATCGGGACGATTCATTCTGACGATGACACCCATTAATTTACAGAAATCAATTGCTGAATACAAGGGACGAGATCTAACCATATCATCGAACAAATCAATGGCATCATCTAAGCATTTGAGATAATGAAACCCACTTGTCAATTTCAATTCCTCTCCTTCAAATGATGTTCCTGGGCTCTTCGAAACCGTAGATGTCTTGGCAGAACGAAGATGAATCAATCTCGTGCTGATCAATCTGGCAGAAGCAGTAGCAGATTCAGATCTCAAAACCCTAGCCAACATTTTGTTGTTTCGCCTGATTTTGTTTTTTTTTCCTTCTCGATCTTTCTAAATTCTAACGAGTGAGTGAAGAAGTGGGTGAAGCCCAGATAACCGGTAATTTTAAAATGAATCATAAAATCTCAGCCGGTTCGATCTGAACGATTCTGAAACCGGTTCGTTTTGACCAATGTAGTGGTATAGTGAAAAAAATTAAACAATAATCAAATTTTGGAAGATAAGGAAAAAAAGAAAAAAAGGATCGTGCAAATAAAAGTCACAGTCGCGACCCAAACTAGCGAAAAGCTTCGATTTCCAGCGATCCTAGAGTTGGATTTTAGGGTTTTTGAATCTTGAGAACGAAGATGTGTTCGTTATCGATGCAATTCTCGCTCTTGCAATCACCATCTCGACCTTCTTCGTCTTTTTTAGCCAACCATGAACCTAAACTCTCTACTTCTTCCTCCTCTGTGAGCTTCCCCTTGAAGACTTGGAAGAGTACCGGAAGTGGGAATTTGATGGTTCTAAGAGTTAAAGCTTATGGTTCTTCTTCTTCTGATTCCTCTCCAGAGTCTAATGGCACTCGGGTAAATTGCAATTGCATTTTCTCGATTGATATGAAGATGAATTGCATTGGTTAAATCACTCGAATCGAATATTACTAAACCCTAATCTTGACCGTCTCAGCCCAAAAGCAGGAGGGATATTCTACTGGAGTATGTTCAGAATGTGAAGCCTGAGTTCATGGAGATGTTCGTTAAACGTGCCCCTAAACATGTAACTTTCTCTGCTTCATTTTCTCAAAAGACCAATTTTTTTTAAAAGTTAGAGCTTATGATTGATTATGTGTTGCTTCTTTGGTAATTGGGGATATTGATTAGGTGGTTGATGCAATGAGACAAACTGTGACGAATATGATTGGAACTCTGCCACCGCAGTTTTTTGCGGTTACTGTCACCTCTGTGAGTGTTTTATGTAAGCGATACGTTTTCACAAGCTGTGTCCTGTGTTTGTTACTTGGGCTTTGTGTGTTGAATTTGACTGTTATGGGTTTAGGTTGCTGAGAATCTTGCACAGCTGATGATGAGCGTATTGATGACTGGATATATGTTTAGAAATGCTCAGTATCGTCTTGAATTGCAACAAAGTTTGGAGCAGGTTGCTCTTCCTGAACCACGTGATCAAAAGGTGAACATTTTCAGAATTATAACTTCTGTTTTCCGGAGAACTCTGTAAATACCGATGAGAGTTTGTTGTTTCAATCTTGTCACTTCTGCTTCTTCTCTGTTCCTCTCTGATAAAAGCCTTGTGTTAAGCTAGTGTAGGAGCATTGTAATTACCCCATGTAACTTGTGGTGGGTTGTAGCTGTGTTAACAGCTCAACAACTATTGTTGAGTCGGTTAGTTAGAGAGCTAACATGTTCAAAATAAGTTTAGGCAGAATGAGTTGTGGGTTAGTCTGGTTAGGTCTCGGATATTGGTTTGGGCAGTGGTCGAGAGTTAGAGACTTCTCGTGTTCATGTTGTGGTTCTTTGGTGACTTGAATAAAGCTACTTAATATGTGTGTGTTAAGTGTGATTTATCAAATTGTATGTGACATTGATTTTCTATTTTGATTAAGCCAGGGGGGTGATGAAGACTATGCACCTGGAACTCAAAAGAACGTTTCAGGGGAAGTAATTAGGTGGAATAATATTTCTGGTCCTGAGAAAATTGATGCAAAAAAGTATATCGAGCTTCTAGAAGCGGAGATCGAAGAACTCAACCGTCAAGTGGGGAGAAAATCTGCGAATCAGCAGAACGAGATTTTGGAGTATCTAAAATCTCTCGAACCTCAAAATCTCAAGGCATGAAAATTCATATATTAGTTTTTATTTGTCTTCATCAAATTTGTAGCCAATGTTTTTTCTCAGTTGGAATACTTTGAATCTGTAGGAGCTTACAAGCACTGCAGGCGAAGATGTTGCTGTAGCCATGAATACATTTGTCAAGAGGCTTCTAGCTGTGTCAGACCCAAATCAAATGAAGGTTCTCTAATGATAACTTCTTTAGCTGAAACTTGTTCTGAGTTGTGTCATGTGAATATAATGTGATTGTGAATTGACTGATATCAATGTTTTGGTGATTACACAGACGAATGTGACAGAGACAAGCGCAGCGGACCTTGCAAAATTGTTGTATTGGTTAATGGTAGTTGGATATAGCATTCGCAATATCGAGGTTAGGTTTGATATGGAACGTGTGCTTGGTACTCAACCGAAGCTTGCAGAGCTGCCTCCTGGTGAAATTATTTGAACACTGTAATGAATAAAACCGGGGGCTTTTTTTACCCGAAGAACTCAGATTTCACTTGTCAAGTAATTTTTATTGTAAAATTGATTGAACTTACTTTGAAGAGAAGACAGATTTTGCTTTGAGAGACCTCTTCAGACTCACAAATAGCAGGCGAAGCTAACTATGATCATTAGACTTTGCATAAGGATATTTAAGGTCTGATCAACAACAGAATACTCAATTCACGGGTTCCGAATAGATTTAGATATCCACTTTAGTAAATTTCTATGGACGAATTGTGAGCTATCATGTATTCTGATTTAACTGTGTATGTACTCGATTTTGTGAAATGCCAACCTAGTGTGCTTTTTGAAATTCATCCAACTGCTGGTCTTTATAGTCTTAAGATTTATAATTCTTAGAACAATCTTAAGATTGAGAAAACTTCTACTACACAAGACCGATACATCGACAACAAAATGTTATTAGAAAAAAAAGAAGATAGATAGTGATTTGGTACGAAAATCAAATTTCTTTTATCTCTGCAAACCATACAATTGTGTTTTTGACAAAACCATTCAAACTAAATATCAAAATCAACAAAAAGGATACTGAAAACACACAGAAAAAACAACATAATTTGAGGGGGTTTGGATCCTATGAGACAAGAACATAACACATTACACTTCAGACGACCAATATAAAGTCATCTTTACATTCCTACACCCATAAGTGTTAACACATAAGCTGTCATGGCCGCAATAAAAAATTTCCCAAATAATTCGATTCCTACAAGACAAGAAAGAAAAAAGGTCAAACTGATTAGTATTTTACTCTATATAGTCTCTTCTTCATAATCCGATTTTTACAACAAAATGGTTGTATACGTATATTAATGATATATAGTATACATGCTTAATTACCTTTTATAACGTTAATAGAAGATGACCCGCTAAAACCTGACGTTGTTTGCGGCCGCGTGAAAAGCGGGGGAGACGGCAAGAATGGAGAGAAAAGTGGTGGAGAAGGTGGTGGAGGTGACGGATATGGTGGAGGTGGTGACGACAAAGCGGTAGCTTCGTACCTCAAGAGGCATTTAGGAGTAAATATCTGAGCCCAACGAGACTGGTTGCAACATTCCAACATTTCTTTGATCGCAAGTTTCAGACACATTGTGCAGTTTCTTGGATCAAGATCTGGACTACACTGAGCAAGTGAATCAATATCAAATGATCCCTCGAATTGTTTCACACGTTCTTGATCCTCTACGAAATACGGTGTTGATGACAGCGATGGGGAAGAAGTCGCATTGATGATAAGCTCGTCCATTTTATCGGAGAGTGTTTGTGGGAACCGTTCCAAGTTAGGAGCATAACTCAAAGAGTATCTAATGATGTAAGGTCTTTCGTCTACGAGGGAGAAGAAGGAGGAATCCGAGTAACGTACCATACACTCTTCATAGAATATGAAAGCTTCTTTTTGATAAGTGCAGTTCTTTGCGATTTCTAGGGTTGCGGTTTGAACACAGTCTGAACAAGATGTTTCCGAGATGTCTCCTCTACAGAGGAACATACCACGGACGGTGTCAGGGCTAAGACCGGCCGTGGCATTGGAATAGGATCCGAGAGAGGAACGGAGGCGGAGAGAGGAGAGTACGGTTTCACGGTTTGTCTCGTATGGGCTGGTTTGTGTGAAGTTGTCGGAGAATAGGTTGCAGAAGGTGCTCATGTGGATGTGGTCAGATTGGGATATGGTTAGGTTTGTAGAGAAGAGAAGAGATAAAAGAGAGAGAAAGCAAAAGAAAGAAGAGAGACTTTGGATCATTGTTGCCATTATTTGTTCTTTCTTGTTTTAAGAATTATGAGTGAAATTAAAGATGAATATTTATAGTAGACAGATTTGTAAAAAGATGCATTATTATATACTCTTTAACTAGGAAAATTCTTTTATTACGCTTAGGTTATTGTTGAGGCCATGTTGTTGTATAAAATGTTAACTTTATTGATTGTTTAATATTCAAAACCAGATGAAAATGCTTGTTTAGGAATAGTACAGAATTATTGAAGCTGACATGTTTGTTTTATTATTGTCTGAAGCAAAACATAAGACTTATTTAGGAAGACCCTTTTTTGGTTTAAGAAGACTCTGATTAGTCTTACAATTTGGAAGGCATGTTTTGTTGCATCTAGAGAAAATTATTACTGGATATTAGTTACAGCTGGAGATAACATATAAAACAAGATATGTTTAGATCCTTGGTTCGATCAATTGTTAAAGTCTCAACGTGAACTGAAGTTCGAAACTAGATGTTCAAATTTTTAAAATAATTTTATGAGGAATTAAGATATTTTCCAATTTGCCTAATTAACATATTTGAAATTTTACACAAGTTCTTTGATTTGTTAGAGTCACATCATGGAGTTTTACATATATCATATCAATTTTAGCATTTTAGCATTTAGTTTTACATAAATGTCAATTAGCTAGTCCATATTGAAAATTTAGTTTGCTCAGATAAACTCTTCTCGTTTTACATTTAGTGAGTGACATTTTCAAAATTTGCAGACAGTTTTACTCTTGAGTTGGCAGAAACTTATGTGCTAGAAGTACTACTGTATCTTGTCAACTAATATAATCCTATAAGACTTTCTTTTTTTTCCTACTCCTAGAAGACTTTCATGCTTAACATTCTTACATTTTCACGAATTAAACATTATAGCCAACAGAAAGTATTGAAAAAGCTGATACGAATTAATATACACAAATGTCTATATTTTTGTTTGCCTAGGTTTTTGAATCTACATATACGAGAACACAACACATCGCACAAATCCTTAAACCATCACTATATTTGATCATAAAACCACTAGTGGTAACACCAAAGCTGTCATGATTGCAATTAACGTTCTCCCAAATATTTCATTTCCTGTAAAACCAAAGAAACCAAAACATATTATTCTTGATGATTGGAATATAGACAGATAAGGTTACGGTGAAGGGTGAACCAAAAATATTCAAGTCAACCAGGTTTATTAGCTAGGCCAATTAAGGATGGACCATACCAATTTTCATACTTTGAAAAAACAGGGACAAATCTAGTCCGGTCCATATAAAACCGATTTCATCATTTCTTTTTGGTAGTGGCAAATAACTACTGACTTATCCTCAAGACCGGACGAACTCAAAAGCGACCTGACCGGGTTAGTCCATCGCCAAAATCTCAAATCCTAGCTAGTACAAAATCTTAAGGTGAAAAGGTGTAGATTAAATGGTAAATAATAAGACTCACCTTTTGTGACGCCAAGACTCGTCACGTTCGGTTGCAAATTGGAGATTTCAAACGTGATGAGACATTTAGTAAAGAAGATTCGAGCAAACTTAGCATGGCTGCAACACTCCGAGAGTCTTTTGACCGCAAGTCTCAAGCAAACGGTGCAGTTTCTTGGATCAAGATCAGGACTACACTGGACCATTGCATGTAAATCATACGAACCTTCCAATTGAGTAACATGTTCTTGATCCTCCACAAAATATGGAACTGGTAACGATAAAGACAAGGGTGCTCTAAGGATAAGTTCGTCTAATTTTTCAAGAAGTGTTCGGTTGAAAAATTGCGGAGAATCGAAAGAACTGCGCGGAGAGAATCTAGCGGTGTTAGGTATATCCTCTACGAGCGTGAAGAAAGAAATGTTCGAGTACCGAACTATACACTCGTTAGAGAATACCAAAGCTGATTTATGATAAAAGCAGGATTTATAGATTTCTAACGTTGTGGCATTGACACAGTTTGAACAAGATGTTCTGTTTAGGTCTCCTCTGCAAAGGAACATGCCATAGATTGTGTTTGGGCTAAGACCGGCCGTGGCGTTGGAATAGCTTCCGATGGAGGAACGGTTGCGAAGAGTGGAGAGGACCGTGTCGCGATTTGAAAGATAAGAGCTAGTTCCAGTGACGTTGTCGAATTGGTTGCAATCAATAAGCATTTGAGAAGCTTGGGACATGGCTCGGAGAGAGAATGAGAAGAAGCAAAACAAAGCAGCAGCGAAGTGTGTATTGATTCTCGTCATTTTTTGTGTTCTTTCTTGATTATTGTGACTTATGAGAAAGAACAAAACAGAGCATATAGATTTTTATTATATAGAGAAAGAATTTTCTCTCTTCAAAAATAAAATAATTCAAAATGTCCACATATAATGTTGTTGACCAGTTCAGAGGTTGAACCTATATCTAAATAATTATTATCTTAGTTGAATTCCTTATTCTTGTATATAAAAACTTTGATTATCTTTGCAAGTTTTTTAAATAAGATGTAGCCTGATGTAAGAGATAAAGTTGAAAATTAGGTTTTGTGAAAGCAAAACACAAGACTTGTTCCTACAATTGTTTTTATTGTATTTTTTGGGTAAGGAAGATATTCTTAGTTTTAGATGCATAACCTTTTTCGACAATATTTTTTAGTTATATAATGTTTGGTTTTTAAATTAGTAATTAACATGATTGTGTGTAAGTCTATCGGCTAGAGAATCCGTTACGTGTAAAATAATAAATAATTTTACCATAAAATTTAAGAAATTTATTATCATATTCAACAATAAATAATTAATTGCCAGAAATTCAAGAAATTGCGAAATCACAATTTTTGCGAGAAATTTGAAAATTGAGTTATTTATTAAAAATCAGTGTGATATTAGTTTGGACCACAAGTCTCTCAAGCAGATCATGCAGTTTCTTGAATCAAGATCAGGACTATGGACCATCGCTTCTCTAAATCATACGAACCTTCCAATTGTGTCACACATGATGCATGTCACACAAAATTTATGTAACTTTTACATGGTTTTTGAAATTTTAATACATATTTGAAACTTTTGAACATGCCCTTTTTGGAAATTGGCATGTTTTCTTGAGAATTAATAGACAAGAACACGGTATATCTCGTACGTCACATGTTAGTTCCCAAAGACTTTAGAACACGTTCAAAGCAATTTATCTCTCTCCCCTATGATTCCATAATTAACAATGCTAAAATACACAAAGGAATAATTAACTACTGTGGAACGTGAATGAGTGGGAGAGAATCCCACTAATATAGGAGAACACATGATGCAATATCTCCATTCAATCTTTCACCAAGTCAAAGTCGGTTTACTCTGGTTATGACCTTCTCATCACCCAAAATGGAGAGAACAAAAATATAAACCGGTAATTACAATCCTTATTACATCACTAGATTTGATCATAAAACCATTAGTAAACCTATCATGATTGCGATAAACGTTCTCCCAGATATATCATCACCTGTAAAATAGAAAAAAAAAAAAAAAAAACGAGCCATTCAAAGCCATATCACATAAACCATAGGGTGGGGCAAGGACAAAATGGTCCGGACCAGACCGGGTTTGTCCAACACAAAGTCTCAGATCTTAAAAGTGATAAAATTAAATGATATATACTGTGACTCACCTTTTGTAACGCCAAGACTCGTTAGGTTTGGTTGCAAAGCAGAGATGTTGTACCTGAGGAGACATTTAGGAAAGTGGATCCGAGCCCAACGAGATTGGCTGCAACACTCGGAGAATTTTTCGACTACAAGTCCCAAGCACACGGTGCAGTTGCTTGGATCAAGATCAGGACTACACTGGGCCATTGCCTTTAAATCATACGAACCTTCCAATTGAGTCACATGTTCTTGATCTTCCACAAAATATGGAACCGGTGACGACAAAGATGAGGATGCTCTGAGGACAAGCTTATCTATTTTTCCAGGAAGTGTTTTATTGAAAAATTGCGGATGACTTAAAGAATCATTCTGAGAGTAACTAGAGGAGGTAGGTGCATCCTCTACGAGAGAGAAGAAAGAAACGTCCGAGTACCGAACCATACACTCATCAGAGAACATGAAAGAGCTGTCATGAGAATAGCAGTATTTAGCTATTCCTGACGTTGAGGAATGGACACAGTTTGAACAAGATGTTTTGCTTATGTTTCCTATGCATAGGAACATGCCGTAGACCGTGTTTGGGCTAAGACCGGCCGTGGCATTGGAATAATAGCTTCCGAGGGAGGATCGGTTGCGAAGAGTTGAGAGGACGATGTTGCGGTTTGATTGATAAGAGCCGGGTCCTTTGTTGCAATCGGTTAGATTTGGAAAAGGTTGGGACATGGCTTCAAGAGAGAATAAGAAGAAGCAAAACAGAGCAACAGCAATGATTCTAGTCATTTTTTGGTATGACTTTATGAGAAAGAACAAAACAGAGCACATAGGTTTTATAGAAGGAAATAATACATTTTTGTTTTATTTTAATAAATTTAAATCCGTGATATGTCCACATATAATATAACGTGGTAGACCAATTCAGAATTAGCATTATTTCGGTTGAACTCCATGTTCTTGTATAAAAAACAAAAAAAAAACAAGTTAAATATCGTTGTAGATTCATTAAATATGATGAAGCCAAAATGATAAAGTTTGACAAATCTCGTCTACGATACTCTTTGTGAAACAGAGGGACTAACACATCACACCGTATAATCTGATTTTTTTCCATTACAAATCATTATTTATAATCCATAAATCATCACATTTGATCACAAACCCACACAAGTACAAACACTTACACTGACATTGTAAAAGCAATCTCCCAAATATTTCGTTTCCTACCATATATAAAAAAAAACACAAATTAGAGCCAACCCTATCAATACTATCTAATTTGTATATCATAATGTGAAAAATTAGGAATGACTATACATACAGACTAATCTTTGGTGTCAAATTTTGCCATGCCAATGACTCGATAGGCCTGCGACAAATTTTAAAATGTGAGTTTTAAACAACTAATAACATATCATCTAAAATTTTTGGTTAAAATAAAAATTGAATAGAGTTTTTGAATCAAAATATTAAGTAGTACAAAAGATGACGATAAAAAGATAAAAATCACTTTTAAATCCCAACCAACAGCAGCAGAATCATTGCCAAGAGGTTGAACTGGTGGTGGTCTAAACTTGCATTGAAGTGACGGATGAGCCTATCACATGATCGGTTCGGATTCCTTTGTACTGAGGATGCAAACAGGTGCTGCATCTTGCTCAGAAAAGTCGATCCTAATAATTTGCATTAAGATCTCAAATTAACGGGTCATACTTTTATTAATCAAACACTTTTAAACTACTGTCTAATGTCTGTGTCAATCATCATACATATTAAATTCAAAACTAATAACAAAATTAAGATACTAAATATTTTAATAATAATTTTATAAAAAAATGGCGCACAAATCAAGTGATAGCAGCATCTCCATCAGCAGAAACTCTGAAAGTTTCTCAAAAAAAAAAAATTATTATTTTAAAGTTGTAATTTTTTTAAATTTTTTTATTAATTGAACCAATAGGATTATGACATGTGGCAATGACATCATAAAAGAGTTTCTCACGGTTTCTCACGGTTTCTGAAATGAGAAACGTGTCTGCTTTATTTCCTTTCTCTCTTCCTTTTATTATTTTTTATTAATTAACATCCCCAATAGAGATGGTCAACAATTGGAGTCTTTCACTAAGTCTCTCAACAATATTAAAAATAAAATTAATCAAAAAAGAAGGGAGAGAGAGGAGAATAGGTTCTCATTTGAATCTCTAATATTTAGAATTTTCTACCAATTACCAACAACCAACTGAAGAACAGAAGAAGGGAAGAAGCTTCATCTACTCTCTTTCTCAAAAGTCAAAAGTCAAAAGTCAAAGGTGAAAAAGCCTTTTTCATTTTCTCCATCATATATGGCTAATCAGAGAGACATCTTTGGTATCTCTGATCTTGAACTATCTCATGGATTCTTCGTCTTCTTCAACGCTTGGCACTTGGAGATACCCCGTCTTTGCCAGCTTCCACGGACCTGACGTCCGCAAAACATTTCTGAGTCATTTGCGTAAACAATTTAGCGACAATGCTATTATGATGTACGATGATCAAGGGATAGAGAGAAGTCAAATAATTTCCCCTTCACTCATGCAAGCGATTAGGGAATCTAGGATCTTGATCGTGGTGCTCTCAAAGAACTATGCTTCTTCTAGGTGGTGTTTGGATGAGTTGGTGGAGATTTTGAAGTGCAAGGAAGATCTAGGTAAAATAGTGATGACGATCTTCTATGACGTAGATCCATCTGATGTGCGGAAACAAACCGGAGAATTCGGAAGCGTTTTCAAGGAAACATGTGCTTGTATATCGAAGGAGGAGTCGGAAAGATGGAGTAAAGCTTTGAATGATGTCGGTCACATAGCCGGAGAACACTTCCTAAATTGGTTTGTTCTTAATTAAATTTCAGTTTGGTTCTCTTAGTCGTTGACACAATGATCACTAAATTATATTTATTTTACAGTCATTCATTGGTTACAATTTTGTTTTAGTAGTTGGTGATATTGATAAGTTTTTCCGACAGATAGCTAGCTAATCAAAAGTTTAAAAGCGCTTAATTTTCCTCTAACTGAAACATTTAGTCATAAGTTAGCTGAACTAGCGACTACGAAACAAACAAAATTTGGTCAGTCTTTTGTTGTTTGCAACTACGAAACAAACAACAAAATGTATCACTGATTGCGGTCATAGGCGATTACAAAACGAATATGACTTACAAAATGGAAACTAATGGTGTTTCATGAGAATAGGAAAGTTAAGGTGAATTGAATCATGACAATAATAAAATTTTAATGATTATTGAATGAGTATTATGAATTCTTGTCAAATGAATATTAGAAATAGATGTAAAGATTTATTGTGAACAGAGGAGTGTTAGTTATCTCTATGATTGTCTTCTCATGAAATTAATTTGGGAAAGAATTTGTTTTCTTTCTTTTGTTAGGAACACTGAGGCGAACATGGTTGAGAAGATTGCAAGAGATGTTTTAAATAAATTGAATGCTTCACCATCGTGGGATTTTGATGGCATGGTGGGATTAGAAGCTCATTTGAGAGAAGTGGAGTCTTTGTTACATTTAGATTATGTTGGAGTTAAGATGATTGGAATCTATGGTCCTGCAGGGATCGGTAAGACGACCATTGCCAGAGCTTTACATAGTCGACTCTCTAATAGGTTTCAGCTTACTTGTTTCGTTGACAACCTTAGGGAAAGCTGTCATCATAGTGGTCTTGATGAGTATGGTCAGAAGCTGCATTTACAAGAACAATTTCTTTTAAAGGTTTTGAACCAAAATGGTATTAAGATATGCCATTTAGGTGCAACAAAGGAAAATCTAAGCGACCAGAAAGTTTTTATCATTCTTGATGATGTGAACAATCTAAAGCAATTAGAGGCGTTGGCAGATGAAACTACATGGTTTGGTCCCGGAAGTAGGATTGTAATTACCACAGAAGACAAAGAGCTTTTGCAGCAACATGGTATCAACAATACGTACCATGTTGGTTTTCCATCTAATGAAGAAGCTCTTGAGATCTTATGTAGATATTCCTTTAAAAAAAGCTCTCCACCTAATGGTTATATGGAGCTTGCAGAAAGCGTAACAAACCTATGTGGTTACCTTCCATTGGGACTTCGTGTGGTGGGCTCATCTTTACTTGGGAAGAAGGAAGACGAATGGATATATGTAATGCACAGGCTAGAAACTATTCTTGGTCGAGACATCGAGGACATACTAAAAGTCGGCTATGAAAGTTTAGATGAGAGTGATCAAACGCTATTTCTCCACATTGCAGTCTTCTTCAACTATAAAGATTGTGACCTTGTGGAAGCCATGCTCATTGACGGTAACTTGGATGTCAAAAACTGGTTGAAAATCCTAGTAAACCGATCTCTCATAGAGATAACCAATGGGAAAATAGTGATGCACAAATTACTACAACAAGTGGGTAGACAGGCCATTCATAGACAAGAGCCATGGAAACGTCAAATCTTAATTGATTCTCAAAAGATCTGTGATGTCTTTGAAAATGATACAGTAAGTTCTACTTTCTTGTATTTGTGTTATTCCTTTGCTCCTATTAATTTAAAAAGGTCACATTAAGAAAATAAAGTAATCTTACTATTTTACTAACAATATCTTTTTATTTGATATTTGGTTTAGGGTACTAGTGATGTGTCTGGCATTTCATTTGATACAACAGGAATCATCGAAGTATGTATAAGTGGTAGAGCTTTTAAAAGAATGCGGAATCTTCGGTTCCTCCGTATATTCAAAAGCAGAGTTGATGGGAATGATAGAGTGCACATACCTGAGGAGATGGAGTTTCCGCGTCGTCTAAGGTTACTACATTGGGAGGCATATCCAAGCAAGAGTCTCCCTCCTAGATTTCATCCTGAATATCTTGTTGAACTTGATATGAAGTATAGCAAGCTCGAGAAGCTCTGGGATGGAATCGAAGTTGGTGAAAATATATTAACTTACTAAGAATATATACATGAATAATGTACTTCCTCTTCGTGTTATGTGATGTTCTTCTCTGTGTTTTTTACTTTCAGCCACTTACAAATCTCAAGAAGATGGATTTGCATGGTTCTCTGGATTTAAGGGAACTCCCAGATCTTTCAAAAGCTACAAATCTTGAGACATTGGGACTATCAATTTGCAAGAGTTTGGTAGAGCTTCCCTCCTCTTTCTCCAATCTTCATAAACTAAAGAACTTAGGGATGAGTTACTGCATAAACCTAGAAGTCATTCCAACTAAGTGGAACTTGGCATCTCTTGAATCCCTCCACATGAATGGATGCTCACGGCTGCGAAATTTTCCGTATATCTCTACGAACATCAAAATTTTTGATATATCGGAAACATTAGTAAAACATGTGCCTACATCAGTTACGCTTTGGTCTCAACTTAAGTTTTTCGATCTCCACGGCAATGGACAGCTCAAGACACTACCACAACTCCCCACGAATATAACGTTTTTGGGGCTGAGCAATAATGGTTTTGAAAGAATTTCTTGCTGCATCAAAGGTCTTCAAAGGTTAACAGAACTTAGACTTTCTGGCTGCAGAAAACTCACATCACTGCCAGAACTCCCTCCTTCACTCAGGTACCTATTAGCACAAGACTGTGAATCACTTGAGACCATATTTGTCCCTTGGAAAACTGAAAATGCGCACCTCGATTTCACCAACTGCTTCAAATTGGACCAGCAAGCACAAAGAGCAATTATCCAACAACAATCGTTTGGATATGGGTCGTCATGCTTACCTGGAAGCGAAATGCCTGCAGAGTTCGAACACAGAGCCACTGGGAATACCTTGACCTTTCCTCTTTCCGCTTTCTCTAGTTTTAAGATTTGCCTCGTTATTTGCTTTCACCAGCAAAACGGGGAATGGTGTGATGATCCCCGAGTTTTATGTCGCCGAATACGCAAAGGCTACTTGTACCCCATAGAGGATCTTGCTCGTGGTATCTCCAGAAGCCAAACGAAACATCTGTTTATTTTTCACTCTGACTCGTTTGACAAACACATATGGCTTGAAGTGAGCAAAGAGATAACGTTCAAATTCAGCAGCAAATACCAAGACTTCGACATTTTTGAATGTGGCGTCCAGATCTTGACAGACGAAACCTTTGGAAGCAACAATGAGGGATCTGGCGATGAAGATGGCGGCAATGACCACTGGGATACACATGAATCGGGTGAAGCGTCAAATGAAGAAGAAGACGACGATGATAATATCGCTGAGGGGAGAAGCGTCCGACAAAGAAGATGGCTACAAATCTGAATCTGGGTAGGCGCCCAAAGATGGGGACTACATATCTCTGTACAGGAAGCGTCCGAGGAAGACAACAATGACGATAGCTACGAATAAATCTTTAAGATTTTTTTTTCATTTTTTTTTTCTTTTTGTGCAAAGATACTTGTGTTTTGGGAAAAATTGACACTAATCTTCCGACTTTCAAATTATGGTCATTTACTACATTATTTTTATATGTGCTCATTTAAACCCAAGAATTCATTGATCAAACCAAAATAGACATACCGTGATCAGTCGTTAACGAAACCTCTAACGCTCATTATCACCCGTTAACAATTCTATTAATCTGTCCTAAAACAATACTATTTTGAAATAATTAAAAGGAAAAAATGTTATTTAATCCTCCAACATTAGTTAGATTTGTGTACGATAGTTTGATCCTAGTCCTAGTCAATCTTTTCTATTTTAATACAGTACGAAATTTAGCCAGTTTTAGTAATTTTATAATTCGTGAAGTAGTTTGAATAGTAATACATGAAATAGTATTATTTTGGACTTTTTCCTTTTACTTATTTGTTTGTTTCTTTCGTTAGTAAGCAAATGGAATTAAATTTATAAACTGAAAAATTCTTCCAAAAAAAATTCAAAGTGGGAATAAGTAAGTTTTGTGTAAGATTCTGAAGCAAAACACCAAGACTTGTTCCTACAATGTTTTTGTTTTTTTTGGATAAGTAGGGTGTGAAAGTTATTGCAATTATTAACTTTTCAGATTTGACATTTAAATGTAAAATTACCAATTGATCTTTGATTTTCCCCCGTAACTCTTATTTCAAAACTAATGTATACTCCCTAATTCTTATCACGGACACTAATTTGGAAAACATCTTAGTGAAAATGTTTCATTTTCTGATCGTTGTCATATGTTAGTAAAGCCCTTTAGAGGGTAAACCCAGCTATGTAAGAATTTTTGATATTTTACTACTAACAAAATAATATGAAGTACCATGACGTATATATGAAGATTATGTCTTCAATGATTATGCAATTAATTAGAGAATTGATTTGGGAGGAATCGATTATGTCTTCAATGAGGCAAGTTTGTAAATGTCTTCAATGTTAAATTTTCTTCAAATGATCAACTATAAAATCACATTTTTGGATTTCGTTAGACAAAAACACAACAAATCACACATATCATAGGAGGTTACCAAAAAAAAAACACATGTCATAAGAACAAAAATATGAAGTAGCATATACCAATCCTTAAAGTACCATTAGATTTGATATCATAGTCCTAGAAGTGCTAACGTAGTAGCTGTCATGACTGCAATAAAAATTCTCCCAAAGATTTTGTTTCCTGTAAAACAAAAAACAGAGAGCCAAACATATTAAACATGTATAATTGATGAATTCATAATTAACAAAATAATCACAACAAGTCTAGACCAAATCACAAAACCACATGCCCATATATATAAGGATGAACCGGAGTGGATCTTATTAGTCCATCGCAAAATCCCTAGCTAATCATACTGCAAAATCTAAAAATGATAAAATGGATATTAATTATATAGAACATATATAACTTATGCTCACCTATCATAGCACCAAGACTCGGGACGTTCACTAGCGAAGAGGTGGTGTCATACTTCACGAGACATTTAGGATGGAAGATATGAGCCTCACGAGACAGGCTGCAACAGCCCAAAAGGTTTTGGACCGCAAGTCTCAAGCAGACGGTACAGTTTGTTGGATCAAGATCAGAACTACACTGAACAACTGAGTCTAATCTATACGAGCTACCGAACTCCTTCACAAGTTCTCTATCCAGCACGAAATATGGTTTCGGCGACAAAGGCATCGACGCTGCTCTCAAGATATGTTTGTCCATCTTATGAGAAAATGTTTGTCCGAAAGAACTCCTAATAGAAAAATTACTGGCAGAGTATAAGATGGTGCTAGGTCCTCCTAGGAGTCCGAAGAAGGAATAATCCGAGACACGAACCATACATTCCTCGTAGTAGATGAAAGCTTCTTTTTGATAAGTGCAGCTTTTAGAGATCTCCAAAGTTGCGGTCCGGACACATAATCCGCATGTACTTTTGGCGACGTCTCCTCTGCAGAGGTACATGCCATAGGCTGTGTCGGGACTAAGACCCTTCGTTGCGTTGGAATAGGTTCTCGTTCCGAGGAAGGAACGGTCGCGGATAGACGTGAGGACTGATGCACGATTTGAATGGTAAGTGCTGGGTCGAGTGAAGTTGTTAGATTCGATGCAGAAGGTGCGCAAGTGACTGACTTGAGGTTGGGACATAGTTTGGAGAGATAAGAAAAAGAAGAAGAAGAAGTAGAAGAAGCAAAATGTAGATGAAGAGAAAGTAATGCTTGTTGCCATTTTTTGTATTCTTTCTTGTTTATTAGGAAGACATAACAAAGAAAGATCATATCAGAATTTATAGAAGGAAATATGTATATCTTGATACTTTGATTCATTCAAATATAATGCTCAAAAATAACGTATACCAATTCAGAGGGAGAGTGTGTATATATAGATTTATGTTATTAATAATCAATCGTTTTAGGGCGAACATTATCTGATGATTTTATCAATGAAATAATATCGGTTTCGTTAGCGTATGGAGCAAAACATGGATTTGTTCTATATAATTCGTTTAATAGCTTGAATAGTAGTACCACATGAAAGAGTATATTTTGGACTCTTTCCCTTTACGTCGTTGTTTTGTTTCTTTTGTTAGTAAGCAAATTAAGTTAAATTTCTGTAAACGGATTTTTTCCAAAAAGATTAATTCAAAGTGGGAATGATAAAGAAATTTAAATTATATTTCAATAACTAGATGGATAACCATGCATGTAAAGATAATGTAATATTAAATGACATTTCGAATTTTCAAAGTTTTCTTTAGTTTTTTTTCCTCAGTTTTAAGAACCAAAAGTGTTGACAAATATCAACCTTAAAATACTTCAACTGGGACCACGTAATAGGATAAACTATAATATACTAAGAATAAGTAATACTCTACCAAAAATAAATGAGAACATTACAACAACAAGAAAAACATTATATTAGATCCAGCTAAACAATCCCATGGGAATACTTGTGTTGCGCTTGTAAAAAAACTGATAATTAAGTTGACAACCCGAAGAACAAACAAGTTTATAGTTTTTTTTTCTTTCATTTTATTCTTAATTTGACTTACAATTTCACGATGGATCATCATATAGCATCGATTTTCTTAAGAGTATCTAACAATGTTTTCAAAATGTCAATAATGATTTGACAGCTCTTAGTTGAAATTTAGTATTTTAGATTACCTCAATTCGGCTACCACCAAAGGATGATTCTTTGTGATAGACACTTGATCATCGAATACCACCCAAATACTTTAGAGCACGTTCAATACAATTTTCTCTCTCCCCTATAATTCCATAATTAACAATGCTTAAATACACAAAGGAAATAACTTAACTAGTATGGAACGTGAATGAGTACTGCAAGACAATCCCACTAATATAGGAGAACACATGATGCCATATCTCCATTCAATCTTTGACCAAGTCAACGTCGGTTTACTCTGGTTATGATCTTATCATCACCAAAGTGGAGAAAACACAAATATAAATCAGTAGTCACAATCCTTATTAAATCACTATATTTGATCATAAACCCATTAGTAAGCCTATCATGATTGCAATAACCGTTCTCCCAAATATATCATCTCCTGTAAAACCAAAAACAAAGAGAGCAATTCAAAGCCATATCACATAACCATAGGGTGGGGCAAGGAAAAAAACGGACCAGACCAGATATTATATACTGCTACTCACCTTTTGTTGTAACGCCAAGACTCGTTAGGTTTGGTTGCAAAGCAGAGATGTCATAACTCAGAAGACATTTAGGAAAGTAGATCCGAGCCCAACGAGATTGGCTGCAACACTCGGAGAATTTTTCGACTACAAGTCTCAAGCACACGGTGCAGTTACTTGGATGAAGATCAGGGCTACACTGGGCCATTGCCTCTAAATCATACGAACCTTCCAATTGAGTAACATGTTCTTGATCCTCCACAAAATATGGAACTGGTAACGATAAAGACAAGGGTGCTCTGAAGACAAGCTTGTCTATTTTTCCAGGAAGTGTTTTATTAAAAAAAAATGGAGAATTCAAAGAATCATTCCGATAGTAACTAGAGGATGTAGGTGCATCCTCTACGAGAGAGTAGAAAGAAACGTCCGAGTACCGAACCATACACTCGTGAGAGAACATGAAAGATGTGTCATGAGAATCACAGGATTTATCCATTCCTAAAGTCGCAGAATGGACACAGTTTGAACAAGACGTTTTGCTTATGTTTCCTATGCATAGGAACATGCCATAGACTGTGTTTGGGCTAAGACCGGCCGTGGCGTTGGAATAATAGCTTCCGAGGGAGGAATGATTGCGAAGAGTGGAGAGGACGGTGTTGCGGTTTGATTGATAAGTGTCGGGTAATTGGTTGCAATCGGTTAGATTTTGAGAAGGTTGGGACATGGCCCCAAGAGAGAACAAGAAGAAACAAAACAGAGCAACATCAATGGTTCTTGACATTTTTGTTATGACTTGTGACAAAGAATAAAACAGAGCACATAGATTTATATAATGAAACAGTTACCTTTTTTATTTTAATTCATTCAAATCTGTAATGTCCACACATGTAGACAAATTCAGAGGTAGAATATGTATATAACTATTATTATTTTTAGTTGAATTTCATTTTCTTGTATATATACAAACGTTGAATATCTTTGCAGGTCCATTAAATAAGAAGATGAAGCCAAAGACAAAAGATAAAGTTGTCCATTGGTTTTGTGAAAGATCTAAACCGAAGCACAAGACTTGTTCATACATACTATATTTTTGTTTTTCGGGAAATGAAGATATTCTGAGTTTTAGAACCATAATCTTCTTTGTTTTTTGGACCATAGACAAAGGAAAATCCAACGGGTGAGAAAAGATTAAATCATAAATCTTTTGAAATATTTTTATTGTTAGGGAACTCATTAATGAGAGATATACAGTGTTTTAGGTATTTAGAGTTTTTGACATTTTTATGTAGAATAACAATTTAATATGCGGTACCCTTAATTAGTAGATAACAAAGAAAAACCTTTACAGGAAAAATATGAACATGCATCAATCTTTTGATCAATCCATACAAACATCAGAATCAAACCGAATTATTTTGGAGGAAATATTAACATTTTTGTGATTATAAATCATAAAAACATAATACACCATCACACATAATCACAGATTAAACGAACTTTTTTTATTATTCTTATTACAAATCATTATTTATAATCCATAGATCATCACGTTTGATCATTATTTATAAGCTGCCATTGTAAAAGCAATCCTCGCAAATATATAGTTTCCTGCCCAAAAAAAAAAAAAAACACAAATTAGAGCAAACCCTATCAATAGTATGTTTAACAGTATATCATAATGTGAAAAATTAGGAACGATTATATGATTAAAAGTTCTAAACTATACATACAATCATATAGCGTTTTTAAGAAACGACGGATTAAGTGTTCGGCGGTGCTTGCGTAGGAGGCGATTGAGGCGGCAAAGGTAGAGGAGGCAGAGACGATGGAGACGGTGCTGGTGATGGCAAAACAAAGGTTCTGTATCTCAAAATACATTTAGGAGTAAAGGTCAGAGCCGAACTTGGTAAACCGCAACAAGTCGAAACTCTTAAGAACGCAAATTTGAGGCAAACGGTACAGGCTGATAGATCAAGATCAGGACTACACTGAACCATTGACACTAAATCATATGAGCCCTCTAACTGAGTCATACGTTCTAGATCCTCCACGAAATACGGAATCAAAGTTGTCGAAGAGACCTTAAGAATCAGTTTGTCGAATTTATCAGACAGTGTTTGGTTAAACCGGTTTGAGTTTGGAGCAGAAATAATAGAGTAACGAACGACGCTTGGTCTGATATCCAATTCAGAGAAGAAGGAAACACTAGAGTAACGAACCATACAGTATTCGTAGTATATGAGTGCTTTTTTGTTAAGAGTACAGTTTGTAGCGATCTCGATTGCTGCGGTTTGGACACAGTCGGAGCAAGTTGTTGTGTTGATGTCTCCTCTACAGAGGAACATGCCATAGACTGTGTCGGGGCTAAGACCGATTGTGGCGTTTGAATAGTGTACGAGCGAGGAAGACAAGCTGAAAGCGGTGAGTAGGATGTTGCGGTTTGTTTCGTATAAACTGGTTTGTGTGAAGTCGTCCGAAGGATTGCAGAAAGTGTGCATGTGTTGAGGTTGGGACATGGTTTGGTGAGATAACAACGAAAAGAAAAAGAAATAAAACAGAGGAGTGAGTGAAATATTGATTCTTGCCATTTTGTACTTTGTTGTTTAACAAAACAGAGGAGATAGATAATTTATAATAGAAAGAAAAGAGCTCTTTTTGTTGATCTATTCAAGATATTGTCTTAATAATGATATGTATACCAATTCAGAGGAAGAATATGTAAAACTATCGTTTAGTAAGACAAAATCATAATAAGGTCGACGCAAAATAGAGTATAATGTTTATCTTAAAGCAAAACAGAGACTTAGTCCTAAACAATTATGTCAAAAACCTTAGGAAGTATGAAAGGTTGTTATCTATATATCATTGATATGGCTCTAAGACCTTTATATAGTTTTACAAGATGACCTAATTAATTGCTAAAAACTTATATATATATATATATATATATATATATATATATATAACAAGAAAAGGAGATATGCATTAGTTCAAATATATCGTAATATCCTCTTTCAAGTTGGAGCGTGAAGATCACAAACGTCCAATTTGAAAGAAAGTGCTCAAAATGCTTACGTCCAAGACCCTGGTCACCAGTTCGTTCGTACACAGGCAGTGGCAATTGTTCCGTTTATATATAACTTTATCAAGAATAAAATGAGTCGGTTTTTTTTTTTATATATTTGACACCGTAATAATTTGGAAGACAGAGAACAAGATGATAGGGTTAAAGTGGAAGACAGAGAACAGGGTGATAGGCTTGAAGTGCTAGGATTGTTACTTGAGCAACAAGAACCATAAGTAACTTGGACAAGGAGCTTGCGCTCGAATTTAGATGGTGTAGGAGCAGCAAGTGCACCATAAATATCCAATATACAATACCCAAATTCTGAAAATATATATGAATTTCCTTAATCTTTTTTTACAAACTAAAGAAGAAATTAAATTGGTTAATCATTTGATAACTTTTGTGGTTATTATATAAGTTAAACCGCATATATGATCTCCTTCAATTTTTTGTTGCGAGTCTCTCTTGTTTTGGGTGAAGTAAAAAGGGGTTTATACAACCTTTTTTTTATAACAAGAAAGTGATCCGGATTTTTTACCATCCGACTAATCAGTAAAAGATGATTTATATATTTACATATAGTTTATTTGTAGGTCATCACACAATCATAATATTGTTTAATAGTCTTTTTTTCCGCGCACAATGCGGATTGAGTTCCTATTAGACAAGAAAATGACATATCACACGTCACACACAATCGTGGAATACAAATAGAATCTTCATAATCATTGGATTGGATCATAGACCCACAAGTGCTAACACCGAAGTTGTCAAGGCTGTAATGAAAATTCTCCTAAATATTTCGTTTCCTGCAGTAAAAAGAAAAGCCAAACACATAAACGTTTAAGTTCCTCAGTCGATTTCTTCCTGATAGTTGGATTTTATCATGACCGATTTTATTGTTCTCATTGACAAATAAAGTTGATTACTACACAAAAAGTTGCGGTTTCAGCCAAAAAAATTAAAACATTATTTTTTCACGTAAGCTTAAACAAGAACGTAACAAAAAAAACAAAAAAAAAAAAGAATATCTACTCGAGGGCATAGTATTAGCTCGCTCACCTTTCATAACGTTAATAGACGATGAGCCGCTTGGTGACTGAGAAGTTGGCAAACCGGTTGTGTCATACTTCAAAAGACATTTAGGAAGATTGAACTGACCCCAACGAGCATTGGTACAACAGCCTGAGAGACTATTGACCACAAGTCTCAAACAGACGCCGCAATTTGCTGAATCAAGATCAGGACTACACTGAACCACTGTGTCTAATGTATACGAGCCCTCTAATGCATTCACACGTGATATATCCTTCTCGTAATAAGGCGTAGAAGCAGACAAAGAAGACTTTGATCCTATGAGGATAATTAGTTGCTCTACCTTATTGGATAACGTTTGTTGGAACGAACTAAAAATAGAAGTAGGAAACAAAGCGACAGAGTATCTAGCGGCGTAAGGCCCGTCTTCTACGAGCGTGAAGAAGGACACATTGGAGTAACGAACCATACACTCCTCGTAGTATATTAGAGCAGTTTTTCTGGAAGTGCAGTTATTTTTAGTGATTTCTAGGGTTGCGGTCTTGACACAGTCCGAACAAGATGTTTTGGGGAGGTCTCCTCGGCAGAGGAACATGCCATAGACTGTGTTGGGGCTAAGACCGATTGTGGCATTGGAATAGGTTCCGAGGGAGGAATGGTCACGGAGAGAAGAAAGTAGGGTTTCACGGTTTGATTTGTATGAGCTGGTTTGTGTGAAGTTGTCGGATAATTGGTCGTCGCAGAAAGTGTGCATGTGGTGAGGTTGGGACATGGTTTGGTGAGAAAATATAGAGAATAAGAAAAAGAAGCAAACCAAAGGAGCATTGAATCTGATTACAATTGCCATTTTTTTTTGTTCTTTCTTGTTTAATTATGAAGGTAGAATAAACCGGAGCAGAAACCTAGCCATTTATATATATAGGGAAAGATCTTCTTTTATTTTAATTCATTCAAATATATAACGTCCTATACCAATTCAGAGAAAGAGATACATATATATATTTGTTATTGTTTCAGAAGAACAATCAGATGATTGATCAATAAGAGTTGAATCCATATATATATCTGAACAACAAACATCATCTTTTATATATTATACTTGTTCTTGAAACGTAACTATGAAAAAATCAGAAAGTTAACACACTATTTAGCTTTGTTAGCGTATGAACCAAAACATGGACTTGTTCTATACAATTTTAGAAGACAAAGATTTGATGCAAATTAAAGAAAAAAAAAAACCAAGAGTCAAAGTCGTGCATGTTCACAAACATTACAAACTATAATTTGGAATTGCCGTGGTTTTATTTACAAAAAAATATGACCATAATCATATTATATAAAAAAATAGGAAATCATTTAGTTGAACCCTTTTATCTTTTCAGACTTCATTTTAAATATATTTAGAGGTTTTATTTCTGTTAATATTTAGAGGTATTTGCATTAATAACATCTGTTGAAGATATATAAATAGCTAGCCCTCCAATGAAGATGTATTCTCTAAAAGATCATATTTTTATCTTAGTGAAAAAAATTCAGTCATGATATTTTCATGTAAATTTAATTAAAAAATCAGCATACATTTAATAATTTATCAATCAAAATAACGTATTAATTTTATTAGATATCTTTGGTACTCTAAACCCTAATTTAAAAAGCATCTCAGAAATTAGGAACTCAAACCAACCATTCAGTCATTGATTTTTCTCCTTAACCCTAATTTCAAAACACTTCAGAAAATGCTATTTTCACTCATTAAAATAAAGTCGATTTTTTTTTTGGGTATGGCTAGTCCATATAATTAACTGCCTCAAGTTCCAAGAAAACGACGTGGATCATACAGTTATCGTTAACTTAATTTGATCAATAACCAAAGTAAATATTACGTCAGATAAGTTTTACCATATTCACATTTTTACGTATACTGATATATTATACTATATGATTTGTTAAGTGTTTATTATTGGATTTGTTTTATGAATTAAAGACGTTTTAAGGTTGCACCTAAACAAGAAGTCACCATTGAGCTGGAATCTTTGGCTATCTCTAGAGAAATAAAAGATATACCAATTAATGTTGCTGATATTATTTGTATATTTTGTGTGTGTGTGTGTTTAAGTTTGATAATTTGCTGTGGGTTAAGAAATTTGCAAATTGTTGATTATCTGAGAATTGTTTTTTTTTCTTTCTAAAATTTGTTTGTTTGTTTGTATGGTTCAGTTAGACGAGTAATTTAGTGAAGCTGTGAATGGTTAAAATGTTTTGATAAATATATTCAGTACAGGTTATGATAAAATACAAAAATTATTAGAATTAGTATTAACCGCCGAAATTTGGATTGCTTCAGATGACGTTGGTCATACTGTATTTGTGTACGACAGTGTTGATCATGGTCCTAGTCAATCCTTTCTATTTTAATACGGGTTTTTGCCACTATTAGTAATTTTACTTCGTGAAGTGGCTTGAATAGTAGTACATGAAATAGTATTATTTTGGACTTTTTCCTTTTACTTCTTTGTTTGTTTCTTTTGTTAGTTAAGCAAATGGAATTAAATTTCTATAAACTGAAAATTCTTTGAAAGATTAATTATTCAAAGTGGGAATAAGAAAATAAGTTTAAAGTTTCAAAGAAAAGAGATACGGTAACCATGTAAATGATAATGTATTCGATATATATATATATATAAAGATAATGTATTCGATAACTTGTATTCCATTTAATTTTTTTTATTTTTACTTAGTTAGTATAAGAAACTGGAAGTGTTGACAACTAATTAACAACCTTAAAATACTTCAATTGGGATCACTTGGACATTATAATAGTAATAATATTGTTTTTCTTTTCGATCAAAAACTCTACCAATATAAAGGAGATATTTAAAATAACAATAAAGCCACAATTTTTTTGTTAGTTACATACATGGATCATGGATGATAACACATCAACAATATTAACACAAACCAATAGATTACATGTATGATCAACATATTAACAAATATTTTACACAACTAAAAACTTTATTGGATACAAATATTTTATGTAATATCTTCCCCTTGTAAACTTATAACCCTAAGTATCATTTTATGCTTTTTCGTTTTCATTCTTAGTTTGAATTTTAATTTCATAATAGATGTAAGATAATCACCCCTCTATAATATGATCAAGACAATATTTTCAAGAAGAATAACAATTTCTTTCAAAAGTCTAACAATGACAAAGACGAACCACTAGATTTGTTATATCATGTTTCGAAAATGCTAGTATAGCTAGCGGTTGAAATTATGATTTCGTGGTATAGTTGCTCCATATTCATGATTTTTTAAAAGAATGTTGACATTAGATGTTATATACATATGCGGTGTTACTGTGTTAGTTACTAGATAATAACTTGACCGAAAAAAAAAACATTATAAAGTAAAAAATAGATATGTATCAGACTCCAATCTTTTTTTATTGTTCAATCCATTAATACATACATCAGAATCAACATCACATATTTTGTAGGAACCATATTAACATCTTTTGTGATATTGGATCTTATGAATGTAACACATCACACAGATTGAAGAAATGCAAATTATTACGAATCATCAATATTTATAATTCATGAGATCATGAAATTGGATCACAAATTCACAAGTGCAAACACCAAAGCTGTCATTGTAACAAGAAGTCTCCCAAAAATTTCATTTCCTGTCACAAAAATAATAAAAATAATTAGAGCCGCCCGATCAATAATATGATTTAATTAGATATCATAATTAAATATTTAAAAACAGGCTGATTAATTAAAGATGATTAAAAATATATAGAAATATGCTTACCTTTTAGAACGTTAAAGGAAAACGACCCGCTAGCAGGTGGAAAGTTCCGTGGCGGCGTGAAAACCAGCGGCGGCGGTGGCGTCTGTGGTAAAGAAGGAGGCGGCGGTGATTGAGGCGGTGGAGACCGAGGAGGCGGAGGCGATGGAGATGACGGTGGAGATGACAAAACAGAGGTTGTAAACCTCAAAAGACATTTAGGAGTAAAGATCTTAGCGTAACTTGGCAAACCGCAACAAGTTGAAATTCTTAAGAACGCAACCCTAAGACAAACGGTACAGTTGAAAATATCAAGATCAGGACTACATTGAACCATTGACTCTAAATCATAAGAACCTTCTGATTGTGTCACACGTTCTTGATCCTCCACGAAATATGGAATCAAAGAGGACGAAGATATGTTGAATATCAGTTCGCTGAATTTTTCAGTAAGTGTTTGATTAAAACGAGTCGGGTTTGGAGCAGACCGAAGAGAGTATATAGTGATGCTTGGTGTGATTTCCAATTCAGAGGAGAAAGAAACATTTGAGTATCGAACCATACACTCCTCGTAGTATATGACCGCTCTTTTGTTAAGAGTACAATTTGTAGCGATCTCGGTTGTTGCGGTTTGGACACAGTCTACGCAAGATGCTGTGGTGATGTCTCCTCTACAGAGGAACATTCCATGGACTGTGTCAGGGCTGAGACCTTCTGTGGCGTTTGAATAGTGTCCAAGAGAGGAAGACTCGCGGAGAGAGGCGAGTAGGGTGTCACGGTTTGTTTCGTATAAACTGGTTTGTGTAAAGTTGTTGTTAGGATTGCAGAAAGTAAACATGTGGTCAGGTTGAGACATGGTTTGGTGAGATAACAAAGAGAAGAAGAAGAAGTAAAACAGAGGAATAGTGAGGGTAATTATGATTCTTGCCATTTTGTTCTTTGTTGTTTGATAAAACAGAGGAGATATGAATTTATAGTACAAAGAAGATAACTTTTTGTTGTTGTTGATTTATTCAAAATAATGTCCAACTAAAATGATGGTATACCAATTCGAAGGAAGAATATGTAAAACTAATATAGTTTTCATCCATGATAGCTATATATCTTTACTTAGACAAAATCATAAAGTTGACACAATTGTTTTTGTGTTTCTTAATCAAAACATAGACTTAGTCCTACACATTGGAAGAAAGAGTTTGACGCAGAGAGTAAAGAAATTACTGCAGACTCATGGCGGCGAACGGGAGAAGAATGTAACCTTGAATAGGATAGGCTTGAAGTGCTGGAGTTGTGCCTTGAACAGCAAGAGGTGTACCAAACATCATAGGACCAAAACCAGTGCTAGGAAAGAATAACCCGGGAGGAGTTGTAGCAGCTGATGGAGGAGTTGTGGCACCATTAAAGGTGAAATGACCAGAAGCAGAGGAGCTACTCGTTGCTCCACATGCAGTGCATCCATGTGCTGGGGGAGAAATAGTTGTGGTTTCATGGGGTCTCTGAACACTCGAGTTAAAGGGAGGAACTGTTGTGGAGGATGGTGAAATAGAGCTCGGAAACTGGCGACCGAAAACAGTGGAAGGCGCATTAAGTTGATCGAAAATGCTAGATGAAGGTGTTGTTACACCAGGGAAGGCACGAAAATCAACACCAGTTGTAGGAGTAAATATTGATGGTGACACAGTTGGTGGTGGAGCAAATATTGATGGCGACACATTTGTTGGTGGAAAAGCAAAGTTTGGCCTTGAGCCTATGGGAGAGGCAGGAGCAGCAGGAAACGACCCACCTGAAGATGAGATTAGTCAAAATTACAGAGAGATATAAAAGAGAAAATGTTATATATGTATAAAAGATTTAACTGATGAGTTAGTTAGTTAGTTACCTTTGACTCCTTGCTTGTAATCTTCCCATCTTAGTTCTTCATGGCTTTTATGTAGATAAGGTTTGGAAGCAGATATGGAAATATAGATTTCGCCTTTTCCTTTTTCAGTGGGGAAACTCCAACCAGATGTGTTTTCTCCGGCATGTGTAGGCGCATAACCAGGATTCCTACTACCTTGTTCAGTGGGGCGACTCCATTCATGAGATGCAAAAGGATAGGATCCAGTGTTGGGATTGTTGCTAAATGCAGGGGATGATGAAAAAGGCGATCTTGGAAACACAGTAGCTCCATTCAAACCAAAACGTTGAGGACCTGCACCGACTGAACCACCACCAAAATTTGGTGGGTTTGATCTAAATAGGTTGGAGAAAGGTCCAGGCAGGTAACCAACACCAAATCCAGGCAAGGAACCAACACCAGTAGTCGATGGGTTTTGTCCGAAAAGGTCGGAAGAGGATGATGCTGGCATGGAACGAAAAACAGAGTTGAACAGCGAAGTACCAGTCGTCGGAGATGCTGGGGCGCAACCAAATAGGGGGGATGTGAAAGTGCTAGATGCACTAGCTTGGACAGGAGCTTGCTTTGGCCCAAAAGGTGAAGGAAAAATCGCTGGAGTTGCACCAAAAACTTCTGTAGTAGTTGAGGAGGAAGCTACTGGCGAGCTACCAACATCAGGTATCGCAAAAGCATTGTTCCCAAACAGTGAACCAGAATTATGCGCGTGCATTGTCCCGCTTGTAGGTGGTGTAGGAGCAGCAAATGTACTGAACCCGAATTTGGGTGTTGAGGCAGGAGATTGCGCTGGTCCAGAACTAACTGATGTGATGGCAGGAGGAGCGGATCCGAAGCTGAATAGCGAAGAACTGTGAAGTGGAGATGAAGTTGAGGATGTGGAAGTGGCAGACGCACCGGAACCAGAGGTAGCTAGGAGATCGCCAAATATAGGAGATTGCGCTGGTCCCGAACTAACGGATGTGATGGCAGCAGGAGTAGATCCGAAGCTGAATGGTGAAGAACTTTGAACTGGAGATGATGTTGAGGTTGAAACCGTAGCAGCAGAATCATGTCCAAGAGCTTGAACTGGAGATGATGTTGAGGTTGAACCAACAGCAGCAGAAGCATGTCCAAGAGCTTGAACTGGTCCCCAACTAACGGATGTGATGGCCGCAGGAGTGGATCCGAAGCTGAATGGTGAAGAACTTTGAACTGGAGATGATGTTGAGGTTGAAACTGTAGCGGGAGAATCATGTTCAAGAGCTTGAACTGGTCCGGAACTAACCGGCACTGAAGTGATGGATGAGCCAATCCTATCTCTCGGTTCGGATTCTTGAGTATTGAGTATACCTGGATTGCTACACTGGTAACAGTTGCTGCACTCTGTCTCAGAAAAATCAATCTTCATTCTTCTTTTAATCTTTCAAACTGCTAACCACAAAAAAAAGGACACAAATTTGTTTAGCATTAGAGGATAACTTTCAGAAACTGATTCGAATTGCAGAAACTAAGTAACAGAAACCCTACATCCAGATCGATTAACAAAGTAATTTCCAGTCAAATTAACGATTTTTATACATCAGAAAGTAACGATCTTTTATTCAGTACATAACAGGAATAAGCGAGTGATTGTCGACAGAGGAAACAGTATGTGAAAGCGTGGAAAAGAAGCAACACAAGAACCCTAATTACAAAGAGAAAACATGATCTAACCCAAATCAAGCAAAACAAAGACAAAGAATATCAAGAGATACTGATCGGTATTCAAAATTGTTGCAAGAATCAAAATCGGTTAAAATCGTCATAGTTTAAAGAAAAATCGAACCTTTATCAAGTAGGAAGCAGGGGAACGACGGAGTGACAGAAGGAGAAGCTTACGGAGACAACAACAATGGCGCGGTTTCAGAATCTGATGATGAAATCAAAGTTAGGGTTTGTGTGAAGAAGAAGAAAAAGAAGAGAACTTTGTGGTTTCAATTTATAGGAAACGATTTCTTCAATTTGCCTGCGTCGCTCTGACGCTTCCTCTAAGATTGTTTTTTTCTTTCTTTTCTTCTTGTGGCGTTGTTTTAACGCCGGACGTTTAGGCAATCTAATGGAAATCTCAATCAATTTAAAGATTAAATAAACTAGAGACATATAATTTTTACTTCTTACAACAGACAATTATATTTTTGAAATTGAAAAATTAATAAGTAGATGACTTTACTTGACTTTAAATAAATTCCACTAAAAATGAGAACAAAAAAATAAACTTAATTTGCCCCCAAAAATAAAATTAATAAGAGAAAAAGTATGTTTTGTCACACAAAACTTTAACCAAAACAAGACTTTAATTGAATTTAAATATATTGTACATAAAAGTAATATATGAGACATATAGTAATTAATTTTTTAAAAAATTTTTTTGGAGATATTAAATATTGTCAAAACAGGTCGGAATCTGCAAATCAAACCCAATCTGTCTCATTATGGATTGAAAATGGGCGTAATAGTTTAGATCCACATCAAAATACTTTGTTTCAAAGTTTCAACCAATACTTCCGCATAACAAAATGCACTAAAGGAGCTATGATTATGAATATGATAATGCATCAAACATCCAAAAATGTTCGAATAAAATCAATAATAAGGCATAAACCTTATCAAATTCTCATACAAAATACATATATTTGAGTTCGACTATGTGTGTGATAGGGTCCTCGTCCTCGTCCAATGATATCGCTTGAAGCATTTTTTGCGGATCATCCCCCATAGATTGCCAAAGCAAATTCACAAGATATTATTTTCTCTTGTGTAGAATCCGATTCTTAGTAACATAACCCCAAGATATTGTGTATTTTTTTATTCGAAATGCAATGTTCCTCCAAATCTCTGAAAGAAAAAGATTGGAATAAATGCAATGCGCTTAGACTGATTGCAGCTCATGCAGTAGTTTATGCAATCCAATGCCCGAATCTACAAGGGTATCTACACATGCTCTGCTAGAAGGCACATTCCGAAGTTTCAGGACATGCTCAATTTGTGGTTTCGAGGCTCCTTTCTCTAATTTATTGGTAAGTTTGTAAGTTTATTTTTGTTCTTGTATTAGGCTTGTTCATCCCGGTGTTCGTTGTTGTTGTGACACCTACTTTTCTATCTATGTAAATCGTTAACAAAGTTTATAAAACCAGAAAATGAAAAAGAAATCTCCGAAAGAAAAGTATGAGTTTTGAAATATTTGCTGAAGAATAAGATAGAAACAAATATTTGTAAAAGAGTAGGTTAAGAAAGGAAAAGGAATTAGGGTCGCAAAATTAAGCCGGTATAAAGAGATTCCATAATCAAAAAAAGAATAAATAAGTCAAAAAAGGATATTAAACATTTTTTTAAAGTCAAATATCAAAATAGCTAAAGTTAAATTTCCTTTTAATTAAACTCTCTCCCTAAAATTTTGTATTTATAAATGTACATTGAGCAATGGAATAACACATCACACACAAAATTGTACAAGTCTCTGTTTCTTTTCAAAGACTTCTAGCAGCAAGAAACATGAAAAGCTCCTTCACGTTCACCATCTTCTTCTTTGCTCTTCTCCTTACATCATCTTGTTAGTCATCTCTTTCTCGAAAAATATTTGTAAAATTATTTACATGTTGTGAAAATAACTAATAATATAATTATGTGTTTGGTGTATATATAGGTGTGGTGATGAGTGCAAGGATGCAAGAAAGCAAACACGGTATATTATTGAAGCCTATGACATGCAATACCAATGCAGATTGTGCTAAGTTTTGCAAAGGTCCAATCCACAACTGCCTATATCATACTTGTGCCTGCGTACCGGGAAATCCTCATTGTTGCTAGAAACACATAAAGTTTCTTAAATTCTTTTGCTTCTGATTCAATATTTTATTTGCATTGGATTTGGATTAGTTTCCACACAATTATAAAATAAAATTATGTTTTCTTGTTAGTCTACTTGATCTTGTAATTGCATCCACAAGACGCAAAATCGCTATACCCAACTAGACCGAACAACTTAAGCTGATCAGCAGTATTAAATATGACAATGGAACCAAGAAAGATTATATAATGTTGAAAGAAACGACTTCTTTGAGTCATGAGAGAGAGAAGAACAAACATTTTGATGCTAAAGTTCTAAATTTATTAACACTCGCTGATATATATATTTGTATGATATGTATAATGGCTATGTGTATTAAACCCTTGAAACTGGAGAGAATAAAGACATTAGACATTAGTCAGAATTCCACATCCTCCCCCACATACATAGCATACAAAACAGAGGAGATATTTAATTTTATAGTAGAAAGAAAAAAGTTTTTGGTTGATTTATTCAAAATAATGATGTTTATAGTACATTCAAAGGAAGAATATGTAAAACTGAAACTGCTTTCATCCATGATAATATTTTTACAAAAACAATCATAAATTTGACACAATTGTTTTTTTTTTTTGTTTCTTAATCAAAACAAAGACTTAGTCAGTTAGTCCTACAACTTGGAAGACAGAGTTTGATGCAGAGAGTAAAGAAATTACTGCAGACTCATGGCGGCGAATGGGAGAAGAATGAAACCTTGAACAAGATAGGCTTGAACTGCTGGAGAGTAACGAGATTACTGCAAACTCATGGCGGCGAACGGGAGAAGAATGAAACCTTGAACAGGATAGGCTTGAAGTGCTGGAGTTGTGCCTTGAGCAGCAGGGGTTGTAACAAACATCATAGAACCAGAACTAGTGGTAGGAATGAACAACCCGGGAGGAGTTGTAGCAGCTGATGGAGGAGTTGTGGCACCATTAAAGGTGAAGTGACCAGAAGCTGAGGAGCTACTTGTTGCTCCACACACTGTGCATCCAAATGCTGGGGAAGAAACAGCAGCTGTTTCATGGGGTCTCTGAACACTCGAGCTTACGGCAGGAAATGTAGTAGAGAACGATGAAAAAGAACTCGGAAACTGGGAACCGAAACCAGTGAAAGGCGCATTAGGTTGACCGAAACCACTAGGTGAAAATGTTGTTGCACCACCAGCAGAAGCAGGGAAGAAACCAAAAGCAGGACGAGTAAAGTTTCCTTGCGTTTTACCAAAGTTTGTCCTCTGATGATGATCAGGTACGCTTGGAGAAGTAAATATTGATGGCGACACGGTTGATGGTGAAAAAACAGCGTTTGGCCTTGAGCCTATGGGAGAGGTAGGAGCAGCAGGAAACGACCCACCTGAACATGAGATTAGTCAAATTTACGGAGAGATCTAAATAAGAAAATGTATGTACCAAAGATTTGAATGATGAGTTAGTTACCTTTAACTCCTTTCTTGTAATTTTCCCACCTTAATTCGTCAGGGCTTTTGTCTAGATAAGGGTTGGAAGCAGATATATTTTGTCCATCATCATCATGCGAGCTCGGCAACAGAGTAGTAGCTCCATTGAAACCAAAAGGTTGAGGAGATGATGTTTTAACACCAGCGAAGGCTGAACCACCAACAGAGTAGTAACTTAGTGGGTGTTGTGCTGGCCCAAAAAGTGAAGAAACACTCGTTGCAGATGTACCAAAAACTGATGCAGTAGTCGATGGGTTTGGTCCGAAAATGTTAGAAGATGAAGATGCTGGCGAGGAACCAAAACTAGGTCTAGCAAAAGAACATTCACACCTTGTAGGTGCTGGGGTGCTTGAAGCACAGACAGAAGTATTCTTGGGAAAATCTTGGGACGGCCCATACAGTGAAGAAACACTCACTGGTGTTGTACCAAAAACTACTGTACTAGTAGAGGAGGAAGATGCTGGCAAGACAGCAATATCGGGTCTCACCCAGGCCCATTCAACACCGCGCTCTGTAGAATAAGAATTAATACTCCAAGGCATATATTGCGTTGGCCCAAACAGTGAAGAACCGCTCGGTGGAGGTGGTGGGACGTAACCAAATGGGAGGAAGCTAATGGGTTTGGAAGTAGTAGACGCACCAGAACCAAAAGTAGCTTGGAAAGGAGCTTGTGTGGGAGTAGCAGATACACCGAAACCAGAGGTGGTTGGACCAAGAGCTTGTGTTGGTTCAGAACTAACCGATGTAACAGTAGGAGCGAATCCGAATGGTGAAAAACTGTGAAGTGGAGATGAAGTTGAGGATGTGGAAGTGGCAGATGCACCAGAAGCAGAACCATAAGTAGCTTGTACAGGAGCTTGAAAGGCTGGTCCGGAACTAACGGATGTGATGGCAGCAGTAGGGGAACCAAAGCTGAATGGTGAAGAACTTTGAACTGGAGATGATGTTGAGGTTGAACCAATAGCAGCAGAAGCATGTCCAAGAGCTTGAACTGGTCCGGAACTAACCGGCACTGAAGTGATGGATTCTTGAGGATTAAGTATGGCTGAGTTGCGACAATGGTAACAGTTTCTACACTCTGGCTCAGAAAAATCAACCCTCATTCTTCTTTTGATCTTTCAAACTGTTAACAACGAAGAAAAAAGAAACACATTAATTTAGGATTAGAGGATAAGTTTCCGAAATTGAATCGAATTGCAAAACTAAGTTAACAGAAAGTAGCCGTTTTTATTCAATACAGAGCAGGCAAAGGAGAAGATAACGAATCGATAAGGAAACAGTCTGTGAAAGCGTGCAAAAGAAGCAACTCAAAAACCCTAATTGCAAAGAGAGAAAATGATCGAACCCAAATCAAGCAAAACAAAGACAAAGAATATCAGTACTAAAATTGTTGTAAGAATCAAAATCGAACCTTTGAACAAGTAGGAAGCGTAGCAACGACGGAGAAATCAAAGTTATGATTGAATTATGAAGAAGAGAGCACTCTGTGGATTCATTTTATAAGCAAACGAGATTTGACTTTGACTTTGCCCTGCGTCTCTTTAACGCTTCCTCCGAAGATTGTTTTTTTTTTTAATGTTCCTGTGGCGTTGTTTTCAAGCCGGAAGGCTCTCTGATCCTTTTCTCTATGATTAATATTTTCATTTTAAATTCATGAAATCTCTGTCAAGTTTAACTAAAAATATATAGAACTGGGAACAAGTTGATAAAAAAAAATCGGAAGAAATATGGATAATACAAAAAAGTATATTAAAGATAATTTAAATATGGCTAGATTTAAGTTAAATAAATTCTACTAAAAATGAGAAAAACTTATGAGAACATAGAAAAGAAAATTTAATAGGAGAATTTTTTTCCTGTCACATTAAACTTTGAAAAGAAAGAACTATAATTTATTTGAAGACTTTAACTATAATTTGTTAATTAGTGTTTTGTTTTGTTAAACTAAGGGAGTTCCAGACCTTTGCCCCATAATTTGTTAGACTAGATTGTGTACCCGCGCGTTGCGCGGGATTTAATATAAAACTTTTATTCTTTAAATATAAATATAATCAATTAAATTTTAAAATATTTTACTTTACTCATGTGCATTATCTTTTCAAAGTAGTAAATTTTTTTTCACACTTTTCAGTATAATTTTTCTCGTTATCTTTTATGATTCACTCGTCGTCTTCCGGCACATACTCTCTTTTCTCCTTAGATCATATCTATTTCTTCTTCATATCTTTCACTACTTAATTTCATTATAAGTTTCATGATCTTTTTATTAAAGTGAATATCGGAAACAGAAATTTGAGGAGATGTTTGTTATAAGATTTCTTGACCATGTTTTGGTGCATCTAAAATTGCTTTATAGACAACAAATCTCATATATGGACTCATTCGTACTTATAAACATAGAATTTCAACATAAATTTTTGCACTTTATCTTAGCCATTTGAAAAATACAAAATTCTCTTTCTACATATATAACTTAACGTATATTATGATTTTCAGATAGTATTCTTAATGTTGACTTCTCTAAAAATTATTCTAATATAAAATACATTTATTTTTTTGAATAAACAAAACCCTTCTTATTTCTAATGAAAAACTCTTCAATCTATCATTACTATTCTAATTTCGAAATAGCATTCTCATATATTATTATTACACAGTTTTATAATTCTATAAGATTATTTTATTTGTATTTGTGATGTTTAGGATAGTTTTTTTGTTTTATTTCAAATCACTTTAGTTTTTTTTTAATCTATGTTAATTTCCTAAACACTGATTAATATTTCATATTTCATTTTTTAAAAAAACAAAGCACCACTCTTTAATTTAGAAAACATTACTAATATAGAAAAATAACTATTTATATTATCTTATAATTATAAATAATAATATGTCCTAAATCTTTCTTATTTTTTAATTGGTTCTAAAATGAATTGCTTTTATTTTAAGTAAAAACCTTTAAATTTGGTATTTTTAAAACTCTTATTTTCTTTACTCTACTAAATAATTGTAACTCTTAAAAATAATTATTGTACCATTAAAATATAGATAAGTTTATTTTTTCCTATCTTTCTGTTTTCTCATAATATTTCATTTAATTTTTTTGTCAATTATTGTTTTTATTTAATGTGTGAATTAATTTTAGTTTTAATATTTGTTTTAGTAAATAAAGTATGTGGAGCCCACACAAAATTAAAATAAGATGACTTGGATGATGATGTGGACACCCTAGATGGAGAGACAACTCTCCCATTATATATATAGATTATTGTACGTGTTATCGGGTGTGTGTAAGTTTATATTTTTTCGACATAATACGATAGAATTCTTATAGTTTTGGTGATATTATTAATATTGTCAAAATATGTTAAGTTTTACGATATTTTAAAAGTTTAAATTGATTTATATATTTTTTGTTTCTCTATGATGAGTTTGTGTGTATATATTGAACTTGGCAGTGTTTAAAAAAAAAAATTGCGTATATTAAAAAATTTTATTTTTGAATAAACCATATTGTTTAGTCAAATTAAATTAGCTTAGTTACCAAAATAGCTAAAGTTAATTTCCTTTTAATCAAGCTATCTCCCTAGAATAATTTTTTTTTGGTTTCTTTATAATGCTTATATAGTAAAAAATAATTTCTGAATGGTAAATATTTGTTTAGTCAAATTAAATTGGCTTAGTTACCAAAATATCTAAAGTTAATTTCCTCTAATAAAAATATCTCCCTAATATATATATTTAATAATGAGTTTATGTGTATATATTGAACTTGGCCATGTTTTGCAAATTAAATTACGTATATAGAAAAAATCATTTTTTGAATGAAAAATATCGTTTAGTCAAATCAAATTGGCTTAGTTACCAATATAGCTAAAGACTAAAGTTAATTTCCTTTTACTCAAACTATCTCCCTAAAATATTTGTATATATCAATGGAATAACACATCACACAAAACTTCACAAGTCTTTTTGTTTTCATCACACGGTTTAGACTTTTAGCAGAAAGAAACATGAAAAGCTCCTTCACATTCACCATCTTCTTCTTAGCTCTTCTCCTTACCTCTTGTTAGTAATCTCTTCCTCATATTTGTGGATTTATTTATAATGTTATGATGAAAGTAATGAGTGATTAATGAGTTTGGTATGTATATATGTATATAGGTGTGGTCATGAGTGCAAGGATACAAGAAAGCACAAACGATATATTGAAGCCTATAACATGCAATACCAATGCAGATTGTGCTAAGTTTTGCAAAGGTCCAATCCACAACTGCGTATTTCATACTTGTCAATGCGTACCCGGAAATCCTCATTGTTGCTAGAAAACACTCCACACATTTTCTGATTCAACAGCTTTTGCGTTGGAATTTCAAATAAAATTATGTTTCCTTGGTTGTTGACTTAATTTTGTAATTGCGTTTACAAGAAGCAAAATCGTTACAAACTAAACCGAATAACTAAGAACAAGAAGATATATAATATTGAAAGAAACGACTTCTTTGAGTCATGAGGAAGAAAGAAGAACAAACATTTTTGATATTTATTTGTAGCTAGATTCCGGGTGATACTTATTTGTATGGTATGTATAATGACTATATATGCACATAAGAGGAAGCTAGAGATTACTGTTTGATGTGCCTTAAACCCTTGAAATTGGAGAGAAGGTGACATTAGGCATGAAAGAAGAAGGGACTTCTCTTGGATTCACCGGAGTTTCCATTTCGATAAGCTCTCTGAGTGAACTGCATCTAGACAAAGAGATGTTTCTCTCTATTCTTGAGACTTCACTTCTGTGAAGCTCGGCGACACAGACTGAGAATGCTTGTAAAGCTGATAGCTTCGCGTGGAAGTTTACCTCGTAATGTCCTTCTCTGATAAACACCATTGTGATTGCTGGTGTGATCTCTTTCCCACCCTGAAACACAGTTTCTTTATATCTTAAGATCAAGAAAGTCAAGTTGAAATCATACTTATGTACCACAAGGTACAAATTTTTTACCTCTATGAAAAGTTCCAAACCATGATGATTGTTGATGAGTTCTGGGGATTCAAGGACAAAAAGGTGACATCCCATGTCCCATCCGCTACAGTCACAGCCTCCACCTGATCTCCATCTTTGCAGTATCGGTGTAGGACATGAGTTTTCGGTATCAGGCAAACCATGGTTTCCTGTTGGAACTATGACTTTCATCGCTCGACTCGGTAGTTTACTGTTTGTAGAAGAGTCTTGAATAACAATTGCTGCAATCTCTAGTCCTGGATGTAAATCTGAGACAGGCCAAGGATCAGATGCAGTGTTCTCTGAACGTTTTGATAGACTACGAGTCAATCCTCGGTTGAAACTGTTCTGCCTTGGGAGCTTTTCTTGTATTTGATCAGATGCAGAGTTCTCTGTTTCTGAAAATATCGATCCTCGTCTGAAACTGTTCTGTCTTGACAGGTTTTCATGCTTGAAGCCACTTCTCCTTGCACGTGCGATGTCGAAAAGAACGAATTCAGACACAGTTGATTCCACAAGATCTTCTTCATATGGTTCTTGCTCTAAGCAGATTTGAGTTGAAACTTGCATCTGGCCTATTAGTGAAGATTCCTTACCTGAAACATTCAACCGGTTTTCACCGAGATTCTTATTGCTTCTACCACCAATGTAGCGAAACGAATAGACGAACCGAGAGTCATTATGATCCATTCTTGTACTGGCCATATATACATCATCCGGTCGGTCTAGCGAGAAGATGAAAACAGGCATCCCAAGTTCATATTCCATACTGAGATGAGCATGTAGATGAACAGGTGAAGACTTTCTCAATGACTTGTGTCTTGAGAACATTTCTTCACCTGATTTTGGTAACAGAGGATTTCGGTTTGAAAATGGATTGGACATTTTCTTGATGCGGTTAAACCAGCTCGTTGAGCTTGAAGTATTAGTAGAAGAAGACTCATTGCTTCCCTTTGAAGAAGGCATAAACGGGAGTTGCATTCTTGCAGAGAATGACTTTTGCAATCTTGGTTCCATGTTTCTCTCTGTACCTAAAGGCTTAGCTAATCGTTGTTGTTGCTGATGTCTCCCATTCGTGTTCAACCGTACCCCGAAAAAACCACCAGAAGAGTATTGCTCAACTGAAAACTTTTCAGCATCAGATATGTTCCTTCTTCTTCTTTCCTTGGATCCCTGATTGAAGAAACCATGTCTCTCCTTCGCCTTGTTTCCCGGTTTTGGAGGTTTCTTGCACGAGGAGTTAATCGCCCGATAAAACATAAACTCATCCTCTTCCCCTGCCTTTTTAGAGTCAAAGAAATTGCGAAGAGTAGGAAGAACATTTTCAGAACTCTGTGCCATCTTTTGCTGGTTATGTATAAATTAACTATTCTCTATTACCATCAGAAAGTGACCAAACTTCTGCAGAAGATTTGTTCAAGGCAAGAGCCTGTATCAGTATTGTAATATACCAAAGAAGCTAACAAACAGATAATGCAAATGAATATAGGAAGGATCACTTACCAGTCTTGATGAAACTGTCACTGATAACCTTAACAAAGAGGGAAGTTAAAATTGCAAAATCTAGGATAGAGAAGTCAATAAAATTTAGCCTACGCTCTTACAGATCTAAAGCCCCACAACAAAAGTAACATAGGAATCAAGTAGTTGTGAATGTAATGAAAGCAACAGACAAAAGTTACACACGGAAAAAAAAATCATTTTAAAAGACAAAAGCTATATTTCACTTGCATTCTAAGCCAATCATAGAAAGGGTGTGGAAAAAGTAACAATCGAATACCAATTGATGGTTTCAGAGTAGTGATCCTCAAGACTGATTTAAAAAAAAAAAAAAAAAAAAAACCTTTAATCTTATGCATCATACAATTGATGACCGTTACATTAAAATAGGAAAAGTAAGTAGCTCTCTTTGAACATGAACAATAATAAGCCATGTAAAAAAAATGATAAAACTAGCAGAGAAAATTATGTTTTTTTTTTGGTTATCTTCATGGGCTTTTTACAGAAGCTTGGATACATGTATAAATTTGTTAGAAGTATGAGTTAGAGCATCCAAGGGCCCATAGCTCAGTGGTAGAGCATTCGACTGCAGATCGAGAGGTCACCGGTTCGAACCCGGTTGAGCCCTTTTTCCCCTTTTTTTTTTCATTTTGGAACTCCAGTTATTTGTGGCTTTGTGTGGGTAACTATGAAATACTGAGATCTGAAGAATGAATCCAACAGAAATGAGAAACAAGAACAATTCCTGATATGCAAACCTCAACAGATCATTAACAACCAAAAATCAAAGTACTCTCTTCTTTACATTACATATTATAAAACATTGATTACAAATCATGGAATCCATCGAAGCAAATCCACAATCACACCATTTCCAGTTTTTTCTAAAAATCATGTCTCCATCAAAGTATGGAACTTTTTTTTCTTCTGTATAACAGGGAAATGTTCATGCCAGTAACCAAGAACATAAAAAGAGTCTAATTCGCGGTAGTAGACCAAATGAATGCTTTGAGTATTTGGAAAGAAAAAAAGACAAGGGATACACAAGCGGAACCTGAAACTGACCAATGATGATGATGCACACGATATGAGAACTCTGTAGTGGCTTCTACTTCAGAGGATGAGATTTGATCTTATTCTACAAAGCCTATGGGGCGTTTCGGTTTAATGTAAGAAGATAAATGGTCTTTAATTTTCCTCTCTCATTTTCCTCTTCGTGCTTTCTGTTATCATCATCATAGCCTGTTTCTTTTGCTTTCGAGCATGGATCCGTCTTTAAGAGCAGCGTGTGCTTCGTTCTCTTGTCCTAGAGCTGATAGAGCTACAGCTTGAAGATAGGATGCGATATGCCAAGCAGGAGATATCACTTGAGCTTGCATTGCATCATTCAGCGCCTCTTGGGGCATCTCATTCATCAGGTAACACAGACTTCTTCTTGCATAAACCGTAGGAGAAACCATTGTCCCTCCCTCAATGAACTGTCCAAACACATTTTTCGATAAGAATTTGTCATAGGGTTGCCAAGATTTACTTGCTACCCTTTCCCTGGAAACTTAAAACGCAAAGACAAAAACAATGGCAGTAGAAAAGATCTAACCTGAGAATAGCAGTCGATGGCATTTGCAAATTCTTTATGTCGGAAAGCAACATCACCCTTTTTCTTGAAGTTTAGCGAGTCCTGCATCTGATTGGTCCACATCTGGAACGAAAGCTGAAATTTTTGCAGAGAAGAAGCAAGCAGAAAAGTTGATCAGATTACAATAAAAAAAAGAAAGCCCAATCGCAAATACACAATGAGACAATTACGAGAGCATGATTAACAACAAGGTTTAGAATTAAGAAAGAAACCTCTGTGGCTGCACCCTCATCATCTTTATAGCTAAGCTTTTCAAGAATCTCATGTATGGCAGTTAGATCTGTTCTAAGGCATGCTTCTCCGAGTGGTGAAAGGGGTGTCGTTGAGGCGCTGCTTGGTATGCCCATCAGTTGATGAGAAGGAGTCTTACATGAATTAACCAGTTTCTTATTAGTGTCGGAGATAAAATTTCGAAAAGCAAAAAAAGATAAGTAACCAAAAGATACAAGCGCTTGCCAAAGATAAATGGAAAGTAAACTACTTAATGGTAGTAGTAGGAAAGCACCTCAAGATCCTTCTGCAGAGGGATCATTGCAGTAACTAGAGACTTCGGGTTAGGCCGCTCTCGGGGCTCATACTGCAAGCATCTAGAAGCTAACCGTATTAGTTCAGTACCGTCATCGCTTGAAAATTGACCCTCCAAGCATGAGTCGATCAACATTTGAATGTTCCTGTCCCGTATGAGGTCCAGAGCCTAATAATAATAATACACAGAACAAGTAAAGTTTTAGTCAGAAAGATACACTCTTCTCCGGGAGATTTGATATATATTCAGCAATGATATGGTGGAGATAGATAGATTTAGAATCTTAATCATAAGCTTACATGGCTTGGAGGAATGTGTTTTCCACTAAGAAGATCAAGCAATAGAGTTCCATAACTGTACATCACACTTTCTGGTGTTACACGACCTGCAGAAACAAACACACAAAAACTTATGTGTCAAAAGAAAACTAGCCACAATCCAAATAAAGCAAACTGAAATGCAAAGTAAATACCTGTTCTGAGATACTCGGGAGGAGTGAAAGCCAGATTGGTACTATAACTCTTTCCATCTCTACTATTTTTCATCAGACCAAAGCACGAAAGTCTTGGATTTGAGTCCTAATAAGAAAAAACATATGATGATATTTATACATGCACATATTAACACAGAAAAAGTAATCAAACATGTAAAGCTTAACTTACATCATCAAAGAGAACTCTATAAGCATTTAAGTCATGGTAGAGCGCACGACCTTTGCCAGTACAATATTCTAAAGCTTGAGCAATATGTAAAGCTACTCTTAGTCGCATCGCCCACTTCATCGGTTGTGACTCCCCTAAACAAACAGAATTACAGTTACTACGAAATCATAACCAAAGAGAAGAAGAGTGTATCAGATGAAGCAAGTTACAATAAGTTCAGTAACTTACAATGGAAAAGATGCTTAGCCAAAGTTTCATTAGGCATAAACTCAGCAACAAGAAGTCTCTCTTCACCTTCATAACAACATCCAAGAAGATTTGCCATTCTATAGTTCCTTAATTGACCAACAGCTTTAGCTTCCTCCTATAAAAACAAAGACCAGAGATTCAAAATCCAAGAATCCAGATTGACATAAAGGTAAAGACTTTATTAAGCTATTTTACCAGAAACTGACGAGAATCAGGCCAAGCTTTCCTATTAAACCTTTTAACAGCAATACGTCTTTGATTATCCAATTTCCCTTTATACACAACATTTGGAGCTTTCTCACCATGCTCTGATACTATATTCTCTGTAGCAAATCCTGATGTTGCGTTCCTTAATGTCTCAATTGAGAATTCACGAAATTGAGGCAAATCATTCCCTTCACCTCTCCTATCTTCATCTAAACAAAACCACAAAAATCACCATTAGAACAATTCAATCACAGAGACAACAAACAAACAAACAAACAAACCCTAGAAAGAAAAAAAAACTCGATCTTTATTTACCTAATCCTGTGACTCCATGATTGGATCCTTCAGGTTCAGAAACACAACAAAATGCACATAACTTTGAAACCTCACAACCCATTTCAGTATTTGTTCTAGTCAAACCATAAACCCTAAACCGCGTCTATTTTTGAGCTGATTTATAAAAATCAAAACTTTTATAGTTTAAACAGATCAAATCCGTGAAGAATTTCTTCAGAATTCCAGATATAAAAAACCCAGTTTTGTGATAATCTTCTTCCACTTTACGAAGGAGAAGAACAACAACAACACCAAAAAAGAGTCAAAATCTGAGAAAACGATCTGTGAAAAAAAAAAAAGAAATTGAAGGAAGAAGAAAGAAAGAGAAAAAGGTGGAATGACAAATGAAGCCGCTCGTGTGAGCTCAAAGGGAAAGCTCAAAGAACAGAGAGATTGTTTTCTGCAACTTTCTTTATTTTTTCTATCCTTTTGTTGGAGAGACAAAAGCAGAGAACTTTGCCAGAAAGTTAAAAAAATTAAAAATTAAAACTTTTGTTTTTGTTTTTGTTAATAAGAAAGAAAGAGAAAAAGAGAGAAACAGCAAAGCAGCAGGCCTCACCAAGTCAACTCACCAGTGGGTCAAAAAAATATAACTAAGAAACAACTCATTTTTGCTATCACCAATAACCATCCATTTGGATTTTTCAATAACCATATTTCTTCTATTAGGGCTGTTTTTTTTTTTATTGTTTGTCTAAATATTCTAGAATATTTGGTTTTTCATTAGTCAAACTATTCAATAATATTTGGTTCATATATATTTCTAACACCTCCGAAAATAATGTATAACAATTTGGTAAAATTGAAGTCATTTTTTGAATTGACTGTAACCAAAAAAATAGTTTCGCAAACTCGAATTTGAAAAAAAATAAAGGGGCCACAAAATAAATTGTTTTTGTTTGTTGCTGTTTTAATATAACAATTTGTTTAAATTTAAGTTGAGTTTATTAGTAAAAGGGTTTATTTTATCATTTATGAAAAAGTGAAGGTTTAAAAACCCACCAAAAAAACTTGATTATTTTTTTAATGTTTTAAGGAAAAATAAGAGTTTTTCTACCTATTTTTCTCATTAAGAGATAAATTTAACCTTACAGGATATTAAGTGCTTTTGTGTTTTTAAATTAGATTTACAGAAAGAAAATAAACATAAAAATTGAGATTAGTGTTATCTCGAAGCAAACCATGCTTCATTTCTCTCTTGTATCAATTTTTTTGCGTGTTTTGGGGATTTACCACGGTATAAAAAACAAGAATGATGGTGCACAACTTTTTTTAGAATTGAGTTAAAAGTTGTGTCAACATAATCAGTTGCAAACGTATTTTTTTGTGAACATGTAAACTTAAAATTTTCGTGTAAATGAAATTTTTTAAAAATATATTATTACGATTAAAAAAATATCTATAAATTTTTTATTTATTTTGATCAATGATAAAATTTAGACGCGTCGCATAGTAGTAGTAGTACACACTGGTACCCTATTACAATTCCATCTAATCGATCCATAGCTGTCAATAAATAGTATATAGATATTTCATATAATAAGTTATTACTATATATACACATACATGTCCCTTGTCGCATATAACTATTTAGGTAACAATTTATCTTTTCTAATGGAAATGAATATGAAAATGTGAAAATAGAATAATGTGAACATGGAAAAACAAAAAAAAAATTTGCCACCGACATAACGCTCTAAACATTTTATTTTTGTTTTCTTCCAACAGTAGAAAACGCCTTTTCACCGACCATCCCCTCGTACCTATGAATGATATCGAGAAAATTTTCCTTATTATCGTATTCTTGAAAAACCCAAACTTTTGTTTTTGATGTCTGACTTGGTTCAAGATTACATTCCGGTTTAGCTCAAAATCATTGGTTTAGAATACTGGGTAAATTGGAGACGTTATAGAGCCATAGAGGGATATGGACTTGTGCATATGTGTCAACAAAGATTGTATAGTAAATGATGCAAAGTTGACTCTTGCCGAGACGTACTCAAAATTACGTGTGCGGAACTCGTAAACGATAGTTGCAATTTACTTTCTACAATCTAATCAATTGAGAGAGCAAGACAAACATTGAATGAGAGGTCCCTTGAAAGACATCTAAATATCTAATCAACTCGTTTTCATTGGAACGATATAAAGAAGATTAGCATGATCAAATTTCGACAACTTCCGGAGAAAAAGAGACATTTACTTTCTAATGAAAATTCTTATTGCCACAAAATAGTCATCGAATGAGAGAGATCAAAATCAAGAGATAGCAGTATACTATAAACCTAAGCTCGAATCCAAATTTAATATTAGGAAAATTATGGAAATAGTAGTCTCAATGTTATATCAAACTATAAAATATTCAAAAGTTCTCTAAATTAAAACATGTCTAAAATTTAAATCCTCATTCCAAATCTAAACCCTCTACCACAATTTTTTAAAACAATAATAGTCTATTTAGATTTTTTTAAAGATTTTAAAAAATCCTAATTACAAAATTGTCCCTACAATATTAGCTTATTATTGAGTCCACTGGGCAGGTTTATTATGGGCCTTAGCCTTACCCATGAAAAGCCTTAGAATTGTGAGCCCAACACGGCTTAACAGAAACTACACGTAGTACATCTTCGATCAGTACAAACGACAAGCAGTTCTTATTATCACGAAACCGGCACGAAGTCTCTTCTCATTAGATACGAACGGCAAACATTTGTTTTCCTTCTCTCCACCCCGTAATTTCCGTTACTAACCAAACCCAATTTTGGAAATTCAGTAACAGAGCTTTATAAAAGAATTAAAATCTTTTTATTTTAATTTTCCAAATCTTCACAAACAAAATTCGTCAAAACAAAACATTCTTGACACTTCCTCTTCTCCGTTTAACTAGTTTCACGAGAGCTCTGTTCTGTTTCTTCTCTTTCAGAAATTTCAAGGTAAACTTTCTTAAAACCCTAGAATTGCAATTTCACTCACTGTTCTTGAATTATTTTGTTTCTAGGGTTTTGATCTTGGCATGTCTTGAAAATTGAAATCTTTATATCGTAGGTTATGATTGTAGTTGATGTGTTTGGTAATGGGAAAAGGTAGAGTTAAAGCAGTGGAGAAAAGGGTTTTAGATCAGAAACTCAGAGGATCGATCAATGTCCCGTTAGGACCAGTTTATTATCCGACAGAAGATGAATTCAAAGATCCATTAGAGTATATATACAAGATCAAGCCAGAGGCAGAGGTTTATGGTATTTGCAAGATTGTTCCACCTAATAATTGGAAACCTCCTTTTGGTTTGGATTTGGAATCTGTTAAGTTTCCAACAAAGACGCAAGAGATTCATCGGTTGCAGTTTCGTCCTGCTTCTTGTAATTCAAAGACGTTTCAGTTGGAGTACAATAGGTTTTTGGAGGAGCATTTAGGTAAGAAGCTGAAGAAGAGAGTTGTTTTTGAAGGAGAAGAGTTGGATTTGTGTAAGCTGTTTAACGCGGTGAAGCGGTTTGGGGGTTACGAAAAGGTTGTTAAAGGGAAAAAATGGGGTGAAGTTTATCAGTTTATGAGCTCTGGTGAAAAGATTTCTAAGTGTGCTAAGCATGTCTTGTGTCAGTTATACAAAGAGCATTTGCATGATTTCGAGAATTATCATAATCGGATGAATGCAGATGCGTCAAAGGGTTGCAAAAGGAAAATTAATGCCGCTGAAAGAACTCGACGATGTACTGAATCTCGGAGCTCTAAGAGACGAAAAAGAAATGCTGATGTGAAAAATCCCAAGGTGGAAAATGAAGAAGTGGTTGATCAAGCATGTATACAATGTAAAAGTGGGAATCACGGCGATGTGATGCTTTTGTGTGATAGTTGTAATAAAGGTTGGCATATATATTGTCTCTCGCCGCCACTGACGCATATCCCACTTGGGAACTGGTATTGCCTTGAGTGTTTAAACACTGATGAAGAAACTTTTGGCTTTGTTCCCGGTAAATGCTTATCACTTGAAGATTTTAAGCGAATTGCTGATCGCGCCAAAAGAAAGTGGTTTGGTTCAGGATCAGTTTCTAGGACGCAGATAGAGAAAAAGTTTTGGGAAATAGTAGAAGGGTCAGGTGGAGAGGTTGAAGTTATGTATGGTAATGACTTGGATACTTCTGTTTACGGGAGTGGTTTTCCTCGAATAGGCGACCAAAGACCAGAATCTGTTGAGGCAAATATATGGGATGAGTATTGTGGTAGCCCCTGGAATCTGAATAACATGCCTAAGTTGAAAGGATCTATGCTTCAAGCCATTCGGCATAACATTAATGGTGTTACAGTGCCTTGGCTATATCTTGGAATGCTCTTCTCTTCTTTTTGTTGGCATTTTGAGGACCATTGTTTTTACTCTGTCAATTATCTACACTGGTATGTTAACTGAACTGTAATTTTCATCCTGTTTCTTTTTACTGTAATTCACCGTGCTTTTGAAGCATATAGAGTACTGTGTTATTTTCGATTCTTGGAAGTCACAACTTTCCCTTCCTCTGTTCCTTAGTTTGTCATGGTCTTAGGGAGAAGAAGTTTTGAAACATAACTCGACTCTCATATTCATAACGAAACATTTTATTCATATTGAGTCTCTTAATTTCGTCTTTTATGTGGAAAGATTATGTTACCAACTTCTTTTTGATTCACACCTCAGGGGAGAGGCAAAATGTTGGTATGGTGTTCCAGGCAATGCTGCTAGTGCTTTTGAAAAGGTTAGTTTTTTTGTGCTTCAAGTCTCCCAAGGTTTTTTCCATTGCAATATCTGTTCTGGCATACTTATCTTCGGAAAGAAAGGTTTAGTTGTCTGAGCTGCTTGATATATCTGCAGGTCATGCGGAAAACCCTTCCTGATCTCTTTGATGCTCAGCCAGATTTGCTCTTTCAACTGGTTACCATGTTGAGTCCGACTGTCTTACAAGAAAATAAAGTCCCGGTCTACACAGTATTACAGGTTTGATATACAAGTGTATAGTTCATTGATGAGTTCATTTGTTTGTTAGCATTCCTATTGCAAGTTCGGAAGCTATTTGTGATAATAGTTAGTAACTTTCCTCTTAAAATCACAGAGCTTATTTAGTTTTCCAAC